AAATCATTCAATAACAGTAACGGAAGAGTCGTCAGCTCCTCCTCCACATCCCTCACCAACTTTCAAGTTAATTTGCCAGTGATAAAAACCGCCTCAATATACCTTCTTCCTAAGAAATCAGGATTGGTTAAGAAAATTAATGTTAGTGATTTTTCCCTCTTCACAGCCAACCAGGTGTTGCTCCTGCTCACGCTCATGAGTTGACCAATACAAAAAGACTCTTGAATAAATGTGGGGATTTCAAATCTGAGGCCAAGGGAATTGGAGGATTTGGCCAGAGGGAGTGGGGCAGGGTGCATATGAGAAGACAGTCAGCTTGTCACCTCAATCATTACCTGGAAAAGCTGCAGCAATTTGGCACCTGTAACAACACTTCAGAAAGCCACAACTTGCACATAGGTCCAGTATATGAAACCTGGCTTTAAAAAGGGAATTATAGTAGACTTACAAAAAATGTAAGCATTTGAATTTTGTAATAACCAGCCTTTAACTTATGCTCTTGAGAGAGCATTTTAACTGTTTATCTATCAACAAGTGACCTTTCAATCCACTGGCTTCCAGGGCTTTGGGAAATTCTTGTGGATTTTGCAGTTGTTGGCTTATATCCAAGGTCCACGCATTACAGAAACATAAAATCTGTTTTGTTGCTTTAAACAGATATGGAGAAAGCTCCAGCCATCCCTCCCCTCTGACTACAAAAATATGGCTGCTTTCATTGTAGCTGTGTCTCATGCTGTTTGATCATTGTTCAGCATCTTTCAAGTTATTTCCATTAGGAGGAGAAATTGCTGAGGGATTCAGATAATTTTATGCAAACCTGTCGATTTGAAAAGAAAAAAAGAAATACAAAAGCCTTGAAGACAGTCTGAATCAAATCAGAGACAATTTCTTTATCATTTTCTAGCCTGCACTCAAAACTTACAATGACAATTTTCAGCCATTTTCTCCAAATTGTATTTCCAACTTCTTTTCTGTCTCCAAGACTCTCCAGATCTTATTTTTCCCACTTGCTCCTGGCTACTCAGGAAAATACACACTCCAGTAACATTACCTTATTGCTTACATCTCAGTTTGGGCCCTAACAAAATCTTCCTTTTTCTGTGATGGTTCGGACCTGGCTCCCTGCCAAATGCCCAAACTCACAGTAACAACCCCTTCCCCCTCCCTTCTTCCCTTAGGGCAAAGGAAAAAAAAAGTATAAAAATTGAAGAACCCGAAATCAATCTCGTTGTATAAAAATATATATATTTTATGTATATTACAGTTATATACAATTAAAATGCTATGTACACAGCGAAGGGAATCCAAGCACCCCTGAAGGGAAAGGGGAAAAAGGGACAAAAAGGCACACAGAACAGATATACACAATCAAAACCAAGAACTAGCAAAATAAAGAACTAGCAAAACAAATCTCACCACCTCCCTCAGAGAAACAAGATTGCCAGACATGGCCAGCACTCTCCAAACCTCCCATGTGGCAGACCAGCACCCACTGCTCCCGAACCTCGCCAGAGGTCTCTAATCTCCAATTTATTTATATGTTGGTTTAAGTAAAAATCGTATGGAATACTGGGTACACGGCCACTTCCTTGGTTACGAGCTGGTTACCAGGAAGGCCTAGACCAAAACCATCACATTTTCTACCCCTTATTCCCTACTATTTTTACGTAACACTTATATTTCGTGTTCATTTATATCCCGCACATATATACATATATATATATATATATATATATATATAGTCCTTGCTTGTCCTTTAGAGCAATTGTCTTGTCGTAGAAGATCAGCATCAGGATTAGCTCGGTTTGGATCCTTGGCCCTTTGGTCACAATCACAGTTCTGGTTTTTAGGGTTGGTTCTCTGGTCTGGGCTGGTTTATCATTGGATACCGGCATCAGTTTGTTCCGGACTTTCTCATCTGGTGACTGGTTTCCTGCAAAACACAACTCAAAGCACATAATTAGTCTTTCCCCAAGGTTAAGTTTCTTTGAAGCACACACTGGATCTCTGCATCCTTTCTCACTACCCACCAGGTATTTCCAGGCCCTTGAGTGAAAACAATCCCACGAATGGGTTTGTCTTGGCCTGAGGGAGGAGTAATCCAAACAGCCTTCCCTAACATACTTCTTAGATGGATCGCTGGAACTTTGTCTCCATCTACAGTGTGGAGGGATTCTGCTTGGGCAGGGCCAGCTCGATTGACAGAGCCTCTAGTGTTAACTAGCCAGGTGGCCTTGGCTAAGTGCCTATCCCAGTTCTTGAAAGTTCCCCCACCTAGTGCCTTTAGAGTTGTTAACAATCCATTACACCTTTCAACTTTCCCAGCAGCAGGTGCATGATATGGAATGTGATAGACCCATTCAATACCATGCTCCCGTACCAAGTGGCCACTAGATTATTCTTGAAATGAGTCCCATTGTCTGACTCAATGTGTTCTGGAGTGCCATGTCTCCACAGGACCTGCTTCTCAAGACCCAGAATGGTATTCCGGGCTGTTGCATGTGGTACCGAATGTGTCTCTAATCATCTGGTGGTCGCTTCCACCATGGTAAGCACATAGCGTTTACCTTGGCGGGTTTGTGGCAATGTGAGGTAGTCAACCTGCCATGCCTCCCCGTATTTATACTTTTCCCAACACCCCTCGGTCTCGTGCCCATCTATAGGTGGCATCTCGGCCCTGATGGCCTGAAGCATCATGGGCCCATCGAGCTAGGAACAACTCTCCCTTTTGCTGCCGGTCTAGGTCTACTTGTGACACCTCGACTTGTGCACCTCGGTCTGCCTGTCTGTTATGAGCGTGTTACTCATTAGCTCGACCTTTGGGCACATGGGCATCTACATGGCAGACTCTCACATTCAGTTTCTTCACCCTGGCAGTGATGTCTTGCCACAAATCAGCAGCCCAGATGGGTTTTCCTCTACGCCTCCAATTCATTTTCTTCCACCGTTTAGCCATCATCCACGAATCGGTGTAGAGGTAGAGCCTTGGCCGTCCTTCTCTTTCTGTGATGTCTAGGGCCAACTGGACAGCTTTGAGTTCTGCAAACTGACTCGATTCGCCTTTACCTTCAGTGGCTTCTGCCACCCATCGGGTGGGACTCCACACAACTGCTTTCCTCTTCCGGTTCCTTCCTACAACGCAGCAAGAACCATCAGTGAAAAGGGAATAGTGTGTCTCTCCATCTGGCAGCTGATTATATGGCAGAGCTTCTTCAGTTCAACTCACTGGCTGTTCTTCCTCTTCATCTGCCAGACTGAAGTTCCCACCTTCAGGCCAATTGGTTGTAATTTCCAAAATTCCAGGGCGATTCGAGTTTCCCATTCGGACACGTTGTGTAATCAAAGCCATCCACTTGCTCCACGTGGCATCGGTGGCATGATGCGTAGAGGGCACCTTACTCTTGAACATCCAGCTCAGCACTGGTAATTGGGGTGAGGAAGAGCTGTGCTTCAGTACCAATCACCTCTGAGGCTGCTCGTATGCCTTCATATGCCGCTAAGATTTCTTTCTCCATAGGGGTGTAATTGGCCTCAGAATGTCTGTAGCTTCCGCTCCAGAAACCAAGTGGTTGCCCTCGTGTCTCGCCAGGCACCTTTTGCCAGAGGCTCCAGGAGGGACCTTTATCTCCAGCTGCAGAGTAAAGTACATTCTTTACATCTGGTCCCATCCTGACTGGTCCAAGAGCCACGGCATGTGTTATCTCTTGCTTGATCTGCCTGAAAGCCTGTTGTTGTTCAGGACCCCATTGGAAATCGTTCTTTTTACAGGTCACAAAGTAAAGAGGGCTCACAATTTGGCTGTACTCAGGGATGTGCATCCTCCAGAAGCCTATAGCTCCCAGAAAAGCTTGGCTCTCTTTCTTGTTTGTCGGTGGAGCCATTGCTACAACCTTATTGATGATGTCAGTTGGAATCTGGTGCCTTCCATCTTGCCACTTTACCCCAGGAACTGGATCTCTCTGGCAGGTCCCTTGACCTTATTCTTCTTGATGGCAAAACTGGCCTTGAGGAGAATCTGGATGGTCTTTTGTCCTTTTTCGAGAACTTCTTCTGCTGTGTCCCCCCCATACAATGATGTCATCAATATACTGATGTGTTCTGGGGCCTTACCCTTCTCTAGTGTGGCCTGAAGCAGTCCATGGCAAATGGTTGGACTGTGTTTCCACCCCTGGGGCAGTCGATTCCAGGTATACTGAACATCCCTCCAGGTGAAAGCAAACTGTGGCCTGCACTCTGCTGCCAAGGGAATGGAGAAAAACACATTTGCAATGTCAATAGTGGCATACCACTTCGTTGTTTTGGACTCCAGCTCGTACTGGAGCTCCAACATATCTGGTACAGCGGCACTCAATGGCGGTGTGACTTCATTTAAGCCACGATAGTCCACAGTCAGTCTCCATTCTCCATCGGATTTACGTACAGGCCAGATGGGGCTGTTGAAGGGTGAGTGTTTTCTACTGACCACCCCTTGACTCTCTAACTTCCTAATCATCTTACGGATGGGGATCACAGCATCTCGGTTCGTCCTGTACTGTCACCTGTGTACAGTTGCAGTGGCTATAGGCACTTGCTGATCTTTGACTCAGAGTAGTCCCACAACGGAAGGGTCTTCTGAGAGGGCAGAAAGGGCAGACAATTGCTTGGACTTCTCTTCAATCACCGTGGCTATGCCAAAACACCACCGGTACCCCTTTGGGTCCTTGAAGTATCCTCTTTTTAGGTAGTCAATACCAAGAATGCAAGGGGCTTCTGGCCCTGTCACAATGGAATAATGTTTTTCCCATTGGTCTCCTGTAAAGCTCATGTCAGCCTCTACCACTGACAACTCTTGAGACCTTCCAGTCACTCTAGAAATAGAAACAGCCTTGTACTCTTATGCTCTGATGGCATTAAAGTACACTGTGCACCAGTATCCACCAAAGCCTGGTATCTCTGGGGATCTGATGTGCCAGGCCATCAAACCCACACAGCCCAGTAAACCCAATTATCTTCCTGGTCCCTTTCCTTCTCCTGGCAGAAGGCAAGGCCCCTCTATTGGTCTTGATAAGAGCATTCGTCATCTGACTTAGATTTTGCCTTCTTAGAGGCCTTCTTGTCATTGTCAAAGCAGACCTCCATCTTTTTGTGTTTCGGAGATCTCAGTTCTTTCCTCAGGACATCTGCATCAACCATGTAGACAACTTTCTTATTGGCTTCTTATTGTTTTAACTCTTTTACTCTGGCCTCGAGTTTGGAAGTGGGTTCACCATCCCACTTTTTCATGTTTTGTCCCTTGCTGCGCAGATAAGACCACAGTTGATTACGTGATCTGCGTCTGGAGTTTCCTCTCCTTCTGCATGCTAAGGAAGGAGATCGTGAACGAGACCAAGACCAAGATCAAGACTGAGGTCAAAATCGTGGTCGAGACTGTTTTACTGGTCTGTCTCTATAGTCTCTATAATCTCTGTCTCTATAGTCGTCTTCCTATCTGGAATATTCATAAGGCCTCTCCCTTGCCTTCCTAAGATGGGTGGGTTGGTGTTGGACATTGGAGGAGTCCTCCAAATTTTCCGCTATGGTCCTTATCCATGAACACATGGTGTCCACATTCAGTTCATCTGTCTTGGGATTGTATGCTACTATTAAGCAGTTGACAAATGACGCAGGGGCACCTTTAATTACTTGCCTCCACATCAGCTCCGTACAGGAGATCTTCTCTGGTTCTAAGCAATTGTAATAGTCTGGGTTACAATAAATAAGTTCTAGCATGGCTAATTCTCGTAGGTACTGGATGCCTTCTTCTGCAGTCGTCCACTTTCTTGGAGAACTCATTAAATATTCTTTAAATGGGTATTTTTCCCTCACAGCATGGAGGATCCGGAGCCAGAGACTGAGACTATATGTCTCTCTTGCAATTTCTTGTTCAATTTCACGGTCTTGAGCAAGGGATCCTAGTTGCTGTGCTTCTTGACCTTCTAATAAGTGGCTTCTGGCCCCACTGTCCCAGCATCGTACCAGCCAGGTGAGAATTCGTTCACCAGGCCGGCGGATGTAATCCCTTCGTAGATCCCGGAGCTCTGCTGGGGTCATCATTCGCAATACTTCACTCGTTTGCACAACTTCCGCTCGAGAATAAGGGTCTCTCCTACATGGAACCATTTCCACTTCCCTTCTGCCGCTTCTACGCGGAACTGCTTTCTCTCTCTCTCTGCCTCTCTCACGTGCAGGCAGAGACTGAGCATGTTGTGAGGATAGGTTTCTACTGTGCTGTCTAAGCCCATGGGGTGGAGGTAGCGAATCGTCCTTCAGACTTTGGGATGAAGGTCTCAACCATTCTTCTGTGACCTCTGTTGGAAAGTCAAGAAGAGTATGTTTGGGTGTCAGCCTTCTCTTTGGTGGTTCATTGGCCATCTGTGCTGCCACTCCTTCTTCCTTTAGGTGCGCTTCCTTTTCCTTTGGGCGTGCTCCCAATTTTTTTGGGCGCACGCCTAATTCTTTTCGGCACGCTCCTTCTCTTGTGGCTGCTTCTTCCTCTTTTGCAGCCATCCATTCGTCCACTACTACATACCTGGATGGGATAGGTTTTGTGGGGATGGCAAGTCCCTTTGTTCCTTTCTTCTTCTTCTTCTTCTTCTTCTTCTTCTTCTTCTTCTTCTTCTTCTCCTTCTCCTCCTTCTACATGCCTTAATCGCAGAACTAGGCCTGTAGCTCCTGCATTATCCCTTATCTGTATCTTCTTCTTAGTTGGGGGGGCAACAGTGATTCTCGGGTTGGTAGTTTGGGTCTCCATCTCCGTTGTAGCCTTAACATTAGATGTTGTAGTTTGAGTTCCAGTGTCCATGAGATCTATAGTTTGGACTCCAGTTTCAACAGGTTTAGCAGAAGCCGTGCTGACTTCAGGTTGAGTCTGACTCCCACACTCAGTCGACTCAATAGAGACGGCGCTGACTTCAGGTTGGGTCTGAGTCCCACACTCAGTCAAATTAATAGAGACGGCGCTGACTTCAGGTTGAGTCTGTGTTCCACACTCAGTCGAATCATTAGAGACAGTGCTGACTTCTGGTTGAGTCTGAGTCCCACACTCATTCGACTTAATAGAGATGGCGCTGACTTCAGGTTGAGTCTGGATCCCAACATCTGTGGACTCAATAGGGGTATCATTGGTTTCAGGCGACATAGTTTGACTTTCTGCCTCAGCCTTAGGCTTTTGATAGTGATCTAAGGCAGCTCCATAAGCTGTCACTAGACCCCAGCATAAAGCAAGAAGCTGCGTATTTGGGTCATCGTATGAAAGACATCCTTCAACTAAACAACGTGTCATCTCATCAGGATCGGACACTTGTTCTGGTGTGAAGTCCCAAATAATGGGAGGTGTCACACACCCTACCAACTTGCCAAAATTTACCCATGCTTCCTGCCATCCAGAAACTGGCCTTTCCAAGACCCTTCCCAAAGTTCCAGCGAATCCTCTCGAGGTCTGGCCTTTTCTACAACAAGGAAAGCAATACAACACCATTCTTCCAATTTTAAATAACACTTCCATTACCTTCACCAGTAATAGGATTGTTGCTAAACAATTTAAGTAAAAATTGGAGCCAATTGTAACGAAGGCCTCCTTTAACAGGCCTCTGATGTCAAAATCAAGGAAAGGGATATACTCCTCCCATTCATCCCCAGTTGGGCATTTCCCTTTAGGGTAGATCAAGACAAGTACAAATATAGCTAACACCAAGAAACAGGTAGGTAGAATAGCCATTGTTATATTATTCTCTCTCTCTGTTCTTAAACAAAAGGTATGTTTATATAAACAAGCCTATCTTGGCAGTTTTCCCGGCAACTGTTCCAAAACAAACCGGGATAACCAAAACAATTCCACTTCTGACACCAAGAAAATCTGTGATGGTTTGGACCTGGCTGCCTGCCAAATGCCCAAACTCACAGTAACAACCACTTCCCCCTCCCTTCTTCCCTTAGGGTAAAGGAAAAGAAACCCTATAAAAACTGAAGAACCTGAAATCAATCTAATTATATAAAAATATATATTTTTATGTATATTACAGTTATATACAATTAAAATGCTGATGTACACAGCAAGGGGAATCCGAGCACCCCCCGAAGGGAAAGGGAAAGGGGAAAAAGGAACAAAAAGGGACACAGAACAGATATACACAATCAAAACCAAGAACAAGCAAAATAAAGAACTAGCAGAACAAATCTCACCACCTCCCTCAGAGAAACAAGATCGCCAGACACGGCCAGCACTCTCCAAACCCCTGCATGGCAGACCAGCGGTCGCTGCAGGCCTCAGGCTCCAGATAAGCGAGACCAACACAAGGACCCACTGCCCCCGAACCTTGCTGGAAGAGAAGAGAGCGAGGTCTCTAATCTCCAGCTTATTTATACCCTGGTTTACGTAAAAATCGTATGGAATACTGGGTACACGGCCACTTCCTTGGTTACGAGCTGGTTACCAGGAAGGCCTAGACCAAAGCCATCACACTACTTCTTGTTAATTATTCAGAGCCAATGTTTTGGGTACTGAATTGATTCATGTTTATTCAAGAAAAGGAGATCATCATCTTCCTACATGTCTCCTGAATGAAAGACACCATCACACTGACACACTTTAATTAAGCTTCACCCAAATAGCAAGAACTTCAGATGTATTTTAAGAGATATGAGATCAGAGGTAAAATACAATAAAAATAAAATCAGAGAGTCAAAAAGCTTCCCAAAATGGAAAGAACATGCAGCACTAGCATGTACTGCTCTGTGGTGGTGTGAAAGGCCACAAGGATCATTGTGAAGATTGTATGCTTGAGTGAATGCCTGATGAACGTACAGTAGCCATTCTTCTCCAGGTATCTGCTGGAGATGGAAGGGGTAACCAAGGAGCATACAACTGACAGGCATATAAGCCCAAATATTCTCCTTCAGAATGGATAAAAGGAGGAAGCACTGGACTTCATTTGTAGTTCTAGTTTGCTAAATTTCACTCAGGTGCATGAAAATATTCCTGCATTGTTACATGGAGACCAAAACCAACTTCATCAGAACGACCCTGATGACTTTTAACTTTTGATTAACACTTGTCTTCAACCTTCAGCTGCAGGAACTTCCAATACACTGTAAATAAAGTTGGCTTGCCATGAAGCAAAGTTACTAACAGTATTCCTGGTGAGTAGCATGAGGCCAGTGCGAGATGAATGCTGGAGAAGAGTTTCAAATTACTGGAAAATGAAAACAATGTTGGGAGGTTGGAGGTTTCGTTTTTGCTTTGTTTTTTTTTTTTCCTAATTCTATTTACAATTAAACCATTTAGTGAAAGCAACATTTGGCCAAAGCAGAGTGTGATTTTCACAGAACAACAATAAAATATTTAGTATGTTTATGTTCCCCCAAATTAAAACCAAACCAGAACAAAATGCACAGAACAAAAAATTGTTCTGAAATGGACAGACTAGTCTTTTGCTGGAATACCTCTATTCTTGCCCTGTGTCTGAGAAATGCTAGGCAACTGACAACTCCCACTTCATTAAGAGGACCTGGGAATGCTCCGTCTGTGATGAGTTCTGATCTGTTTAGAGTCCTGCTTACAGCTGCCATCCCAATTTAAGCATTATACAAGAAAGTTTTTCCTCTTTATAAACTCGCTTAGCCAGACTCTGCTCCTCCAGGTCACTTAAGCATGCATTTAACTAAAGTGCATAAGTGATTTCTTGAACTTAAGAGAGAACCTGACAACGTCAGCAGGCCCAGGCTGTTTGAAGTTAAGCACACACTTAAGTGCTCTGCTGGATATTTGCCCAAACTGTCAATCTTTTATAGTTAATCATTTATCACCCTGCTTATGTTCTGGTAGTTATGCTTCAGTGTGCAAATATGTAAATTGCTTTCACAAAGCTCTGCGCAGCGAGCACAAATAATGCTTTCTCAGCCCTTTGTAGGAGTTCTCCGGTCCTGCGACACCTCAGATAGATCAAGAAGCACTTAGAACTGGCAAGAAAGTTACTTCTCCCTTAATTAAACAGAATCATTACCGTGTTCCTCTTCTTAATAGTCAGACGCCTTCACAGACTTGCAAAATAAGGAAATAAATAATGCCATTTAGCTCTAACCTGACAACTATCACGCGTTTTGCCTTTAGAAGCATGTACTTCTATCCATCTTCCACCCCACTGAGAGTGAGAAAGAGAGCAAGCTGTCAAACCTACCACAAGCATGTTTGTGTAACTTTGGCACAGATTAAGGCACATAACTGCCTACAAGGGTATCTGCAGTGTATCACAAGGTAATTCTCCCAAACATCAGTGACCATTTTAATTTTTCTTTCCCTCCTGAGGTTAATTGCTGTGAACTACAGGGGAATGTCACCTCCACTTACCTGTGCCCTGTTGCTTTGTATTCAGAAAGCTCACAGCTCCCATGATTTTTCACAAAGAATTAAAATTGCCACGGGAGAGAAAAATATAGTTACTGCCATTCGGTTCCTATATATTGTATTGGAACGATAAGCAGCAATGGTACCTCACTGAAATAGGGCCTTAAAATACAATTAGTTGCAGTTCTGTAGATTGCAGAGCCAGTTATTCTATGCTCCTGCCTGTGGGGACTTCTGTGCACCCACTAATGAAAAGGCTGCTTTTCCCCAGGTGTCAGGTACTTTTGCAAGAAATGAATACTGGGAAGGGAAAATGAGAGTCTAATCCCTTGCTCTGTAGAGCAACTTTTTGTAAAAATTTATTCTCTGTCAAGCAAACTGCCTGAAAAAAAAACCCCTGCAGTCAGCTACTTTTTTAAAGAGGAAGCTTGAACACTGCTCAGATTGAATCATATTAAAACGAATTAATGTCAACAGCTGGTCTCAAAATCATTAATTGAAAAAACCTGAACCTCAAGCTTTAAGTATAAATAATCCCACAAACAAACAAACAAACAAACAAACAAAAAAGCAGCCAACTAAGGAAAGAGGCTCCCTCACGATAGACTGGTTGCCATCATGAACTACTGAACAGGACAAAACTTATCCCTTGAACTGTCCTGAGCTCAGGCGCTGACTCTGCAAATGTTCCCAAGCTTCTGCTGCAGACTTGGACTGGCAGGTCCCAGGCCACACAGGCCTCTGGAGGAACAAGGGTAGGAGGGATCCTTGAGGGGAACCACTGAAAGCCATGCTTGGGAAGAAAATCTTGGGCAGGGTTCACTGCATGGCTGTTTTGGGATTGGTAGGGAAATAAAGCCCTGGGAAAAGGAGGAGGCTCAGACAAGATTTCAGAAGGCCTGTGTTCAGTCCAGGTCCTGGAGGGAGATTTGGCCATCATCCCAAATACTAGGATGTTTTCCTGCACGATGTAATTCTTTCAAAATGACATGCATGCTCACTTCTACTTTTGTCTGTAACTACCAGTTAATTACCAAGTTACGTTAAAGCAAATAAATTTGTAGCATTTTAAAGGAAATATAATGTGTTAATGTAGAAGAGACACAGAAAGATACCACTTGTATGAAAAAATGCATGGTGGCGAAACAGATATTTTCCTTTCACAGTAGGTCAGATATAACAAGCTTCCTACTTGAAGCCCACGATGGAAAATATCCACTCATTTCTGGAGATCTAGTGAGATGGAGACACAAACATCTGAGCAGCTAAATATAGCTCTGGATAGCAGTGCTTTGTACAATAAGTTCTAGCGTCTCTTAACTTAATATGGAAATTGATACAAAAATAAAATTGCAATATTTTCAGAGCCTGTGTCTGCTTGTGTGCTCATCGGGACTCACACCACCAAATTTCAGCCCCTGCTGAAATTACTCTGCAGTTTTTGTCTTGCACTGTCTCACATGCCAAGAAGGCAGAATAATGATGTCCAGCACCAAAAGGCCACGTCTATTGAGATATATAAAGGTTACTCCACAGAAAGTCAATATGAGAACTGCACTGCGAATGCCTTGTCCTTCAGCATTTCTGCAAGAGCAACAAACTAAGTTTAATTAGAGGAGTCTAGGTCTTGGTCAGAGATTATCCCAGCCCTAAATGCCAGTGATTCATTTCTGGAACGTTTGTTACTGGACACATGCCCTTTGGATCAGCTTGTGGTTGCTGAAGCTTGGGATTGGGCTTGGGTAGGTACTGCTGGAGCAACACTGCAAACCCCTCGAGAAGGAAGAGGTGGCAGGGGGAACAGTGAAGAGCCATGCTAGTGGCTCATGGCTTTCTCATATTTCTCCTCCCTTTTTGCTGTGAGGCAAAAACGTTGGACCTGGGTGTGAGTGCTTTTGCAGCGATTTACACTGAAATTCCCCAGGCCTGACTCTGCCCTATCCCATCCCTTGCTCAGCCACTGGCCCAAGCACTGGGCATATGCAGGACTTGGTAGCCTGTACACCTGGTCACAGGACAGTTCAGGTCAGGAAGGACTGCCTCGCGGCCAAGGTGATACCCTGAGAAGCAGATAGCAAGAAATTCAGAGCAGAAGTGGGCTCTGTGGCTGGTCGTGCCCCATTGCAGTCATTGATGGCTGTGGGATCTTAGTGTGGTGCTTTCTCTCCCTGTCTCAAGAAAGCACTGGATGATATTCAGCCATTAACAAGTTTGCCAGTGGTATTGACCTTAATGACATGTAAACTTGTATGTCAGCTTCACCTTATGTAAGGTGAAAAGGAAAAATAGCATTTGCTCTTACAACACAAATGGAAAATAAAATGCAAACAAAACAAGGTGCATTTTTATGTTTCCATCTTATGTTATCCACCTTCAAAGTCAGAAAGTTATGAAGCTTGGCGAGCATAAGTCAATAAATAAACAAATGAAGAAAATATCGACAAGCTTGATTTCAAAGGTCATGGGAAGAGGATGAGTGCCATGCTTTCGAGCCTTCTCCTTCTCCCTTTCAGTCCTCAAATGTTAAAAAAACTGTGCCCTGCCCTAGTGAGGGAGCCCTAGGGTGAGGAGGGAGCCCTTGCAGGAAACAGCTGAATTCAGAGCTTCTTTAAACCAATGAACTAGACTCAACTCTGCATATCCTTATAAATATAACTAGTCCAAGAGAGACTAGTGAGAACTGTAAATAGTTTGGTGACCACCAGCTGCTATGACAGTCAATTCCAGCTCACCACAAGCCCTGTCACATGGATGACCAGGACTGATCTGGGACTGTCCCGCACATGTGGCAGCACTGCAAGACAGGTTCCCAAACCACCCCCAGCCTGGCAGCTCACAAAGCAGCTGCCCAAGGGCAACATGTAGGAGAAGAAAGTTTCTTGCCTTCAGGCTGGATGAAGCCATGTGATGATGGAGAAGGGGGCATCTGGAGCTGCCCTACTACTGTGGCACACAGCACACCCCAGAGCAGATGCAAGACAGAGATGTTCTCCCTTCTCTACCCCAACTACAGCTCCCCAAAATAGTCTCTTCAGCTGGCTTCTGCTCAGAGCACCCCACATCTATCAGGATGCAGAAGCAAGCAGGGTACCCTCCATGCTCTAATCTTTTTTGCCAAAGGCATCTCGGAGGAGTACCCTGAACACTCCAAAGCCACAGGAAAAGGGACTGCAGGATTCACATGGACAATTTTGAAAAGCAATAAGCATCACAACCTTATAGATTAGCTGGAATGGTAGGAGCTGAAATAACATTTATATTATGGCTTGGCCAAACCAGACACTGCAGTTTAAGGTTTGGGTAAGACCATTAAGTTCATTCATATCTTTGTTCTCATTCAAGAACGTGAAGACTGTAGCAGACTTACAACTAACAGATATGGCATGCACTGAAATTGCCAAAGCTTGTAAAATCTGATTTACTCAGTGAGGCAGAAGGGGAAGTCATTTAGTTTGAGTCATAAGAGGTCTTGATACAATCTAAGCTTCATCATATCTGAAGAAATGGCTCACTCCCTGATATCAAAAGGCTGCCTTGTACAGCCTTGATAGCACAATAGCAAAGAACAATTCCTAGAGCTGAAGACTACAAGGTCTTTGTATCAGCTGCACTTCAGCATAACTTCTCTCACATTACACCACCTGATGGGCACTCCAGGTTTATGGTTAGCTCTTCAGGGGTCCACGGATCTGAAAGCAAGAAGATAGAAGCTTCTTGCAAAGGTGCAGTCCCAGGCATAAATAACAATTTCAATCTACCTTTCTTTTCCTCCCTGAAGTTTTCACTCTCTGGAGCCTCATGTGCTCTTGTAGTCATGTAGTCTTGTAGTCACCTGCAGCTCTGCTACAGGTGAAAGAATGCAGGCAAGAGGGCTGGTGGTAATTCTGTCTTCATGCCCTTGAAAACATACAGGCTGACCTGGAAGGCTCAGAATGCCCCTTTCTCTGGCCTGAGTCCTGTATGAATCCCATGAGGAGGGATAATGCTTGAAGACCCACAAGTAGAACAAAAGAAAGCTTAAACCCAGCTGAGCACTAAATTTTATTCCCTACCTTAGCTGCTACGGTTGGGGAGGACATTTCATTGCTGATGACATTTGTTTCTGGAGACGAACATGTATCTGTGGGAAGGAAGAGTTGACTTTGTCACACATCCCATGTGGCTGTATAAAGTAGCTGAGTGGGAGAATTTTTGACACCTCCCTGTGTTGGAGTCAACCCAAGAGTGCAGGCCAAGACTCCAGCAAGAACTTCCCCTGGGGAAATGTGAGAATAGCACAGCCAATCCTGCCTCTCCATGAGAGCTGTTCTCCAGCACTCCCGCAGCTTCAGATAGAAACCAAATTCACAAATGGCACAGAGATGCAAGGAACCAGCGGGAGAAAGGTCAGCTAAGGTTGCTAACCACCCTGGCCGCACCAGAGAAAATGGCAAACAAGACTACACACCTGCAGAGCAGCACTGGGGAAAAACAACGTGTGTGTTGCAAACGTTGCACTGTGCTCATCGTCCCCTTTCTCCTCTTACAAGAACAGATGTAAGAAACAAACCCTGTTTTGTACAAAAGTGCGCTATGGAAACCATAAAGCAGAAAGAGCAATTGATGCAGGCTGTACTTTGCACATCCATTTCCTTGTCTGCATACAAGAGTATATAGATTATCCCTACCACCACAGATCAGCAGCACCAGACTCACTGGGCTGAGATACTGTTTTATTACCAGCCCCCTGCGGTGAGAAAAGACATCAGGCTTGAGCTCCCGTGTGTTCTCCTGGGGAGCCTGCAGAACCAGCAGTGTGTACCTCCAGTGCCTTCTCTTAATAAGTAGGACATCCACTTGGCCTTGTCATAGATAACAAGCAGTTTTGACAAGCTTGCAGAAGATGTGCCTTGGGAGTGGCAGCCCTGTGAGTCCCACATTACTGCTTTTTCAGTTTCTTCATGTCATACCAATGGCCAGCTGTTTGGCTGCTCCCATCAGTGAATTTGCTCTACAAACAGCAGGTCTGCAAAGAAATCACTCCAGCAATGGAGACTGGGATGGTCAGTGGCTTATAGCCGTGTGTACTGAAGTGACAGCAGTGGAGACAGAGGTGTCAATACATCAGTTAGGTCACACAGAGCTGACGATGCAGTACCCTGCAGTGACAGAGCACACTGTAGATACTTGCAGAGTGGGGCTGAGGTGACGATAGCTCTCTGTAAAGGATACTTACTGGATCCAAGAACAAGTGTGGCTTGTTCTACTACGCATAGGCTTTGCTGTAGTGGCAACTTTCCACCTGCTCATGTTGCTCCTTGCCTTGGCCGTATGGCACAACTACCACCAGTGGGCACACACCCACCTTCCGCTGTGAGGTCTGCAGGTATAGCTTGAAACAAATGCAAAATAGCTTCCACAACTGAGGCCAGCTGTGCTAGCAACATGCCCAGTAGGACCACTGGACCACTATCTAGTAGAAAAAATTACTCCCTCTCTGGTGCTCAGACGCTCTCAAGAGGCACTCCAAAGCTGTATGGATGACTGCAGGCCCCTGATGAGATTTTTTTCCCTAGTACTCAAAAAGCAGATGGAGGTTTGTGACTGGTTTCTCCCAGCCAAACTTCCTGCAGAGGGATGACTAGTTTCCAGAGTGTTAAACAGACATGTGACCATGGCGAAACGCCAGATGGCTGGAAAGAGAATTGGAGCAGCCCTCACGATGCAGGTCTGGCCTTGGTTACCAGCATCATGTCCCATATTTACCAGCTCCCACACAGGAAGACCTGGCTGCAAACTGGGAGTGTGACACAGGGATATTACGTAGCGCAATTTTTAGTGATGCCATCATAGACTGGGACAGAATGAACAATGCTTCTTCATTTCCTTGCTTCCTTCACTGTGCAAAGGGATCTGCTTCAAAGGCTCTTTTAGTGATGGTGTAGATGGAAAAAGCTGTTTCAAAGCAGGACACCTAACAGAAAATACAATTTTTACTTCAGTAGATATAATGTCGGTATAATTCTCACAAGAGATGACTTCAGGGAATGATGAAGCACTGAGGTGTAGGTGGGTACTGTAGTTTGCGATATGTAATCAGCTAAGGTCAGTGGCAGGGAAGCTGATGCTTGGTGTTGGAAGGGCTACAAGGTTACAAGGCTATCTCAAAAGCAATGGATTCACGGTTACTCAGTCCCCAGGAGCACTCACAACAGCAAAGCCTCTAGGCACCCTGGCTCTTTGCTCTCACTTGTAATCAGCGTACAGCCAGGGGATTTGTGTCTGCATTTGATTCATGGTGCAGCCTATACCGACACTTGTAATCAGGAGCAGAACGCAAGCGGAAAGAAAAACATGGAAACAAAGAGAAAAGCTTCCATGTGGCATCACTCTCTGCAAACCAGCATCTCCAGCTGGTTTCATGACCTCTTTATGCTGATCTAACTCTGGGCTGCCTCAGAAACAATAAGCCCTATCCTTCCTGCCTACCCTGTCATGAACTGGACCAGGGAATTCAAATGCTATTTACTGTCCTTTAATCAGGTTTCTTTTCATTTGGATCAGCCACCTGAGTGGCATACTGCTCAGCCCGCCCAAAGCACAGGAGGCAGCAGGAGAAGCACAGGCAGTGGCAGCAATTCACAGTGAGATTAGCTTTTAAAAGATGTTGTCTTACAGCAACATCCTCACAGCACAACAGCCTTAACCTGCCTCAACATATTCTCACACACACACACTGACACGGTCGCAAAATGCACAGCCAGGCTCAGAGGTACTGAAAAGCGTATGCCACATCAGTTACACACAAATCAGTGACCTGCCCAGACCGATTTCATTTACGCCTTAGTCGGTGAGGTGCTTATGCGAGGCATGAAATGAAGCTGGAACTTTGCAGACTCCTAATGAGAGTACGCGTGAGACAAACAGCTGGCAGACAAGTTATAACTACCAAAAAAACTCCAAACAAACCAACTACAAAAGACAGTTGCCTATTTATTTTAAAAAAGAATTTTGTTGCTGTTTTTATTTTCAATAAATATGTATGCTTGGAGAATAAAACAGAGGCTTTTTTATCCCCATCGATGCCTAAATGGCAATTCTCAAATGCAAATTTCAGTCACGTGACAGTATTTAATCTGAATCAACAGAGCACTCTGATCCCTGAATGGGATTTTGGCACTCTAGTCCATTAAGTCATATTTACATTCTGGAGGCAGACACTGGTTCAGAGGAAGCCTGAGGATTTGAACAAGGTGGGAACACTTATCACTTTATCACGTGGAATGGTGCTTAGTCCTTCTGGGAAGCTCAAGCCTCTGTGTGGTTAACAGCTGGGCCAGTCCATTCATCAGCATCATAAATATGGTCAGCGACATCACCAGCACATAGTGGCTAATGCTGCAAGGAGAAGGCAGATAAAAAAAGTGAGAGAAAAGTACAAATTTGCAGAGTTAAAAAGAAAAAAATCCTGACATAAACAACCCTCTGAATATTCTTTTTTTCATTTTAACTAGGTCTAATTATTGACCTAGGATGTCATTATATATGCTGCTCCTAGAAGACAAGTATTGGAGCAGCACTATCATGTCAAAACCAAAGTCTGTGACAAAATAAAATGGTGGGGACAGCAGAAACCACAACTGAGCATACATCAAGTGAGTAAGAGGTGCCAGGTGTACTTTTTATTCAAGTGGGTAATTCAACTTATGTGACTGAAACAATTGCAAAACTTCCATTTGCTGTCAACTATAATACAGAATCTAGTGAGAACTTGCCATCAGGTAGACATTCCTTGGTAGTAAGACAACTCAGATATTTATGTCAGCTGAAGTGCAATTTTCTAGAGAAAAAACTATTCCAGTGACAAGAAGCTTTAAGAAAAACAAACAAACAAACAAACAAAAAACAAACTCCCCACTACCACTACTTTTTCACTCACCATTTCTAAAAATTGTAGAATTCTCTGCTGTGGTAACACATGTTTTCAAAGAGATTAAAGCGATGAGTTCAAGAGTGGCTAATAAACAGAATATGAAGATGCAGCTTCTGGGTTAGAAAGTCCTTAAGTCACTAAGGATTAAAAGTCTAATGAGCAGAGAGCTTGTTCTCCACTCATTCAAATTCTGTTACCTGATAATCAGTAGTATTACAGATGGGCTTTTTAGGGTCAGACTGAGATCTGACCTAGGATATTCAGCATTCTATGTTCAACAGGGTTCAAGGCCCATTTGGAATTAAATCTGACTAAGGATGTCAAGAATAACAAGAAGGGCTTCTTCAAAGACACCAGTAACAAAAGGAAAACTATGGAAAATGTGGATCTGCTACTGAATGGAACAGGGACCCTTTCAACAGAGGCTGCAGAGAAAGCTGAGGTACTGAACACTTTCTTTGCTTCAGTCTTTACTGCCCAGGCTGGCTCTCATTAACTCCTGACCCAGGAGATCAGGGAAAAGGTCTGGAGAAAGGCAATCCTTCCCTTTGTGTGGGAGCATCGAGCTAGAGACTATTTTAAAATCTGACACCCACAAGTCCATGGGTCCTGATGGGATGCATCCACAAGTGCTAAAGGAACTGAAGACATCAGTGCCAGGCCACTCTCAATCATCTTTGAAAGCTCATGGTAGAAGTGACCTCACGGAAAGCTCATGGAGAGGTGCCAGAAGACTGAAAGAAAGCCAATGTCACCCCAGTCTTCAAAAATGGCAAGAAGAAGGACCAGGGAGCTACAGACCAATCAGCCTCGTCTCCATCCCTCAAAGGTGATGGAATGGCTCATCCTGAAGGTCAACTCTAAGCATATGGAAGACAAGAACGTGATCAGGCATAGTCAGTATGGATTCACCAAAGGGAAATCATGCTTAACCAACCTGATTGCCTTCTGTGATAGGATATTAGCTGGAGATAGATGAGGAGAGAGCAGTGGATACAATCTACCTGGACTTCAAGGCTTTTGACAGTGTCTCCCATGTGATATCCTCAAAGGTAAACTCAGGAAGTGCGTACTGGATGAGTGGGCAGTGAGGTGGATTGAGAACTGGCTGAACAGCCGATCCCTGAGGGTCATAATCAATGGCACAGGGTCAAGTAGGTGGCCTGTCACTAGTGGTGGCCCCCAAGGTTCAATACTTGGCCCAGTACTGTTTAACTTATTCACCAGTGACTTGGATGATGGGGCAGATGCCTCCTCAACAAAGATGTCAAGAGGATGAAGCCAGGCTCTTATCCGTGGTGCCAAGCAACAGAACAAGAGGCAACAGGCAAAAAACTAGAACACAGAAAGTTCCACCTGAATATGACGAAGAACTTCTTAATTGTGCAGGTGACTGAGCACTGGAACACACTGCCCGGAGAGGCTGTGGAGTCTCCTTCCCTGGAGATACTCAAAAGCCATCTGGACACAATCCTGAGTAACATGCTCTGGGGGATCATGTTTGATCAGGGAGGTTGGACCAGATGACCTCCAGTGGTACCTTCCCACCTCAACCATTCTGCAATTCAATCGAGCTGCTGTTAGTGTAAACCACTAGTCATTAAGAAACCAGAATTCTTCCAAAACCAGTGATATTCCAGGCTAGAGCTGCAGATGAAACACCTCTGCACTTGCCTTCATCATGCATCCAGTGCTGTTTTGTTTTTTCTGGGACTAATGAAGATACTGGCATTCTGACATGAGAGATAATCATATCTCCTGATGCACTTATCCCCACAATTTCAAAGTAGATGGCTCTTTAGGACAAGCAGAGTAACTTCAGACTCAATGAAGTCTGAGTTTAGTCACAAAAAAAGATTGCAAGGAACGCTTGCTGGCTTAATGACCTGGAATTTCTGCCAGAGGACTCATTCAGTTTGAGAGTTTAGCCACAGAAGAGCAGTAAAGCTCATAATGCCGATGCTATCAATCCTCACAACCCTGAGACTATAGCAACTCTGGCACTAGCCTAGCACAATTTAGCTTTGTGAAGTGTAGAAGCACCAGCTCTTACAAAGCTGGGCCACTAACCACTGCGAGAGAGTAAAAGTAATCCAAAAAGTTCATTAATGAGCACAAGCTCTTCCACAGCCAGAGTACCAGTAACTAAAGGACCAAAGTGCATGGAGAAAACAACACCAAACTTTTAAGTCTCTCGCATTGACAGCCAGGATTCCACACCCTCTCACTGTTTCACAAAAAACAAATCACAAAGCACATTGGTTTTGTTTTAATAGTCAGACCAAGAAGCCCCAGCACCCCAACCCTGTAATTGATTCCGTTATCCCTAAAACCTACAAAACCAGTCTCGTGCTTAATCTATGTCCCCTGACCTTCGAGACCGCAGAAGAACAGTTAAGATCATAACTTTATCTTCCAGCAACTGTTATAAAAAGAGGGAGCAACACGGTACATGTCTTTATAAAGCTATATCATAGTCATACAAAGAACCTTTAAAGTTTATCTTGACTATCAGATTATAAAGCTATTTACATATTGCATATACTGTAAAGACATAGCAGGCTTTAAAGGCTATTTCTCTCTCTCTGTTGATCTATAGATAGGGACAGATAAATATACCTTTTAAGCTGCAGAGAAATTATTTTAGTGACATTTCATATGATGCAAATTAGGTTACCTCAAGATACAGAGATAAAGGTTAGCTGACCTCAGAAGCTTGCGTAAGCCGCTGCTTTGAGTTCCACATTCACCGCAAGATTATCCTGTTATTACACCAACACAATGAAAAGCACGCTCTGAAGGACAAGTTCGCACTGATTTTGGCGCGGCCATTAAGAAAAGGGGCTTTAAAACTTTCTAAGAAGCCATAAATATTTATGGTAATTGATAACGTACTGCGAGGAGGGAATCAGTGGTGCACTGATAACTTGCTGAACGTGGTAATACGGGACTGTATGTTGGATCTGTTGTTGCTCAGCATTTCATTAATGAACTGGAAGAGTGGAAAAGGTAGAAATCTGCTTCCATTCAAAGACAATACTTAAGTGAATTCAGCCAGGAGAATAAAGACATCACATTGTTAATGCAAATACAAGGCACAGTAAAATGACATGTCATGTAGTTAAGACATGGCAGAACGAGATGTAGAAGCCAGGAGTGAGGGGCGAAATTTCTGAACAAAGGAAATGTCAGTTCAGTAAACAAACCTTACTTCCAAACAATGAGATCCACTAGCAAACAAAACATCAGCATAAAAAAAGCAGTGAAGGTCTTTTTATCACAAGAGATTTAAAACCAGCCCCTCCACATGACACTTGGGTATTGGAAAAGACAAGTATTGTTTAATGAGAGTCTCCTACTGAACTTGCACACTTTCGGTAAAAGAGAGAGGATATACAAAAGTTTTAAAGTGCGGTAATTAGAAAATCCATAGAAAGCCATCACCACAAAAAAGAATGAGTATGGAAACATTCATCAGAAGCTTAACAAACATGGCACATATACCACGGGACTCTGATAGACTTCAGAGGAATGAACCCCTACTGGGCAATTACATTGCTGCTTTTCCACCTGTGATTTCAACAATGTGGTAACCAGTAAGATAACACAAATCCAGATATTTCTGCTCACACCCCCACCCCTCTTGTATCAGTGTCACAAAAAACCACAAAGCACCTCCCCCAAAAAAACCCAAAAAACATGAGAGCAGCTGTCCCTAAGAGTGTTCCTATTCTTTGTTCTGTGAAATTCTGTCCAGGTTTTGTTCAGATACAAACAGTTGGGGGTGAAAAAAAAAGAACCATGATTTCCTTAACTGACTCAGCCTTCTCAGGAAAATTTTGGCAACACGTAAAATATCAACTAAGACAGGATATTTTCAGACCTTGCTGTCAAAACAGCATCAGACAACACTGCAATGAGAATTGCCACAGAGTTGTCACTGCACTTGCAACAGGAGGACAGGAAAAAGCCATATTAGTATCTCACTCCCACTGGTTTTGGGAATTGCCCAAACCCCCGTGAAACTCATCTTCCCTTTCAGGAATAAACAAAAAAAAAATATCTTCTGCTGTTGCCTGCTAATTTTGCCAAGCCTGTGGATCACACATTAGAACTCTGCTCAGAGGAAAATGTTCTGGTGCCAAAATAATGCTCATGCTATATAAAAGAAGGACCATTTCAGCACTGTCCCTATGGCTTTACCTCTTTTCTTATGCAACCCCATTATTTTTATCTTATATGCCTGTACAGACATACATACATACATACATAACAAATACAAAGAGACTACAATAAAATAACATAGGTGGTAGAGTCAAGCACTCAAAAGTGAAGTAATGACAGAGACTGCCTGAACATTATGCATTGCCACGTTAAAAATTAATCACAAATCACTCTTTTGAAAGGTCTTTTTCAGTGCTTTCTTCAGTGATCAAAACACACATGCAGAGAGGCAGAGTTACAGTGGTGCATAACAAGCTCTCCTAAACTCTTCAGAATGAGGCAAACTTCCAGCTGAAATGGATTAAACAATGCATCACTGTTGTAAAGCTCTACACTACGAAGGCCATGTATCAGAGAGGAAGCTTTTGAGTACTTATAACAATTTATATTTTTCCTCTTATTTTTCCTCCTACTTTGCAAGCTTCTTGCCCAGCAGAACAGGAATTTCCTGAGGTCTTTAATATCCTTATTAATCTCCATAGGAATTAAAACCAAGGGATGAGGCCATCTGATTTACCATAAACTGACCATAGCAAGGAAGCGTGATGTTAAAGCATCATTTTCACTATCTGATCCAACTGTATCTCTGCCCACTAGGAACCTTCAAAAGGAAGGAATTCCACTAGGAATTGGAACCTCCAAAGAAAAGAGGTAGAATACGTGTGCACATGTGTCCTCGCACACACCTGCTGCTGGGAACGTGGGGAGATCAGCAAAGTAGACTAAACAGAATATTAACAATGGGTCACTATTCAACCTCTGTTTAAATAACAGTGTCAAGTGACCAGATTGACCGGATTAGTAAGAACGCATTCCCTGCTAAGCTTATTACGGCATATTATCTATTTCCACAACTCAAGGAAGGTAAATCTGAAATGTGTATTCCTTGTGTTTATATTTGTGGACTATTCACAAACAAAACTGCACACTTGAAAACCTGCCCCATGATGTATATGCTGTGGAGGCCAATATGACTCATAATGCTAAGCAAATTATCTCATTTTACCTGTGATTTCCGTGTTTAAATGCTAAATTTAAACTCTTCCCCAAGCAGAGGGAGGATAAATGCATGGGCCTTGGTAGCCACTAACATATTTACACAAGGTTCATGAATTCACAGCAGACTGTATATGGAGGCTTAACGAAATAGAAGACTATTAACAACTTTGATAAATTGTTATTTTAACAGTGATTACAACTAATTAAAATGAAAAACAGTAATTAGAATATGTTTTGTGTAATTACTCTTCTTTAGCAATGAAACAAATCCTACTAACTGTATTTCTTCCCATGCTAGATTCATTAGTTACTCTGTGTTGCTCTAGCACAGATTTTAAGACACAAGTTTTAGCTTGTGATATGTATACATATGTGGGCACATGTGTTCCAAGTATGTGGAACATCCCGAATCATTAGATTAAGGAGAATAATTAGAAAATATTACAAGAGTTATGAGTAGATAAACAACAACATGAACCAATGAGCTTTTAAAATGCAATGGAGGCAAAAAAGGTACTGTACCTTGTTCCGATATCCAGCCAGCTTCCATAATCTTTCACCAAAAAGAAAAAATGCTAAGAAATAAAACAACTTTGATTAGTACATCAACACTGCACAATTCAAAACAGAAAATTAAAACCCAATGTTTCAGGATGTTTACTCCAAAATTCTAATTCTTCAAGTAGAATAAGGGTAAAACATTTCCAGGAATGGTCATTTGGACCATAGTAAATTAAAAATAGTAAAGGAAAATTTCTAGCTGGTGGCCACATTGATTCAAGATCACAAACGCTGTTCTCTTTTTTTTATCCTGCAACTTCCTCTCTTCTTGATATACACAGAGCTCCTACATATCACACCTATTCAGTAACATGTGGTGGTGGGTTTTCTTGTATACCAAGTACATACTTGCTAATTGTTTTAAAATATTTAAACCAAAACAGAAGATTACATGAGATGTAAGACCTGGATATACTGGGCTTGCTAAACAACGCTAAATACCTGCAGGCTTCCTTTGGTTTAGTTATACTGATTTTATTAGTGAAATGCTATGAATGTGGTTTAATGGTATTTTAAACCTTTTCCTCTGGGAATTATCCAAAATCAGATTAGTCATACAGACTTATCTGAAGCTGGATATAACTATACCTTCTTCACTTCTCACTCTACAGACAAGTTAGTAATTACTGGATTTTTAATCACTGTTTTTCCTATCAGGCGATATTCACAGATCACACTGTACTAGGATATAAGATCAGGAAAGGTTACTCCAAGGGACAAAACAAAAACAGCATGTATGAAGTAACAACACCAGCTCTACCTGCTGGTTTGAAAAGGTTTCTGTTTTTCTTGTGATACACAGGGGTACTGCTTGTTGAGCTGAAGACAACTTGAATGGACAACAAAAGCATACTTTTAATCTGCAGAAATTATGTTGGGGTATTGTTCAGCTTTGGGTTGTTTTAGCTAGCTTGGTTTGCGGATGCAAGCTCTCTGAAGATAGCATTTCCTAACAGTTTATTACAAAGTGCAGAAAGTGTATTTTCCAATGTTGCTGATCTCTTGGATTCTGACAAATTTAACAGAGTTGGTGGGTAATGCATTTCTCTTTTTCAAGGGAAGCTGCTGTGGGTAAAAGGTTGAAAATTCCTAAAAAATTACCCAAACCATGCCCACAGCTAAAACTGATATTCTTATTTAAATTTTTCCTAGGAATTTGATTGTAAAGTATATGAAAAACTCAAAATGGTAACTTATTACTTCATATTTGTCTCCTATTATTATGAGAACACTGCTTCTTCAGAAGCATTAATTACATGAAATTCAAAGAGCAGTGATTGGAAGAGTTTTATCTCCAAGTTATGCTAGGATTTCAATCCAATTCTCTGCCCTAGTTACAGAAACTTTGAAGTCTAAAACAAATTCAGATCTCTCTTGATGGAATTAGGAGAACCCTCTGCTTCTTGATCTTACTGGAACAGAATGTGCAACAACAACTTACCAAAGCCATAATGTCTGAAATCACAAGAACAATGAGGAAAAGGCTACAATGAAAACAAAAAAAACCACCAAAATTAGACCACCGACCTTTATTTATGGCCACAGATGTTAAAAAAGCTTATTAAAACCCCCATAAAGAAATTAAAGTAAGATACAATTTCTCATACTTGACTTTCAAACACTCAGGTACATGTCAATGCATTAGAGAACAGTTAAAGTACATGACTAGGACATCTGGCATTTATAATCCCACCCTGCCTGAAAAAGGCATTTCAAACTAACAGAGTTTCAATTTTGCAACAGAGGAGCCTAACTTGAGTCGTGTTTGGAGAACAAGAGCACCTTACAAACAGGACCTGCCTATTCCTGATGCAGGGAGCTCTGTGCTGGTTAGACCACATACAGCTGATTTAGAAGCTTCACAATGTACCCAAGAGTGAGCAAAGCTGTTTGGCAACAGGCAGACAGACACTTGAGTTGATCAGTCCCACCCCGACAACCACTCTGCTGGGAAAGAGGCTGATAAAGGAGGAGCTTTGCCCCCTTCCAGATCTCTGGGTGCCCGGAAGCTGCTCTGGGAACACCCAGCATTTTAGTGGCATGCTTCCAAACCCATGGGCCTCTCTGTCAGGTGGCAGGTTACTCCTGGGAAGGAGGCTGTGGCCAGTAAAATGAATCAGAAGGGAGGATGCAGAGCTAGTTTTTTCCCCCATTAACCTAATCTTCTTTTCATAAACTATGCAAATCCTAAATTACGTGAAAGCAATTGTTGTAACTGGTTAAAACTGGTTTCTAAGTTAAGGACACTGAAATAATGTTGCAAGCAGCTGACCCATTAGCAAAAAACCCTTTAAACAAAATTAGAGATAATTTATCAGTACTACCCTCATAAAACCACAAAGGGGTTTTTTTGGGAAAATGTCCTGCTGCAGGGTTGCATGAGCATGTACTGGGGTGACACCCATACCAATGGCTCCAGATGAGGAAGTTTCTGATATTGCCTATGTCAGTTGTACTTCATTAGTAAATCAGGATGCAACAAACTAACTGCATCTTGGACACACAGAAAGGCTTTTCTCCACCTACCTATGGCTCAGATAGGATGTTGCAATCTTACAGTGCCTAGGAGGCACTCAGCTAGAGGGCTATTTTCACAGGGTAGCTCCAAGAACATATTGGGACAGAATATTCCCCAAAGAAAAGAAATTAATCTGTAAACAGGGAGTTTCAGGAGCAATTTGTCCAAATCATAAAAATCTACTCTTGCCTTTCTGAACTGCAGGAAGCCTTTCACAACAGAAGGACAATGCTAATTTCAGGGCATGTTTATACACTGCAAAGACAAGACTGTTCCCTGGGATGGCTTAATTTATCTAGCAGGGGCAGCAAGAGCAATAAAGATTGCAGCACAGACTTCAGGATGTGCTGACAATCAGAGCACAACCCCTCCAGGGATCCTGGGCACGTCTTGCGGTTTCTGCTTGTTCCCAGGCTGGTGCTGTGGCAGTATCACTGCTATTGTTACCTGAGCACAGCTAAATGAAGCTGGCACAAACATCAGACAGCGTAACAACCACAGCCTCATAAAGTAGCACAGACATACTCGTGTTTTCTGTTTTACGAAGCTGGTATTGTTTCCCCTCTCACACACACAGATTAACATTGCATAAAAGTTTGCAATATCACCAGCGCTGCCAAGGCAAGCATTCACAAGTTAGGAAATGCTGACCTTTATGCTGCTCAAGCCCTAGAAATGAAAATCACTAGCTGGTTGTCTGAGTAACCCCAGTCCCTTTTGTACGAGCACTAGTGATGAGGATGAATATCCTTCCTTGGGGGTCCAAGGATAGCCCAAGTACAGTGCACACACAGAGCAGGTAAAAGGGATGGTGAGCCTTGCGCTGCCACTCCAACATGAAGTCAGATTTCAGGCTACCCCGTCTCTCATTAGTACAGAGTGGTGTTGTATAAAGGAGATAACACACAGGGCACAGGCAGGATGAAAACAAACAAAGGCAGAGAGCATCGCAGTAAGTGAGAGCAGCTTTCCCCTGCTCAGCTGAGCAAAATGAAGGAGAAAGTCCCTGTGGTCCTTCTGCCACTGACAGCAGGACTTCTAGTCAGCCCCACACAACATCCCATGGTGACAACCTGAAAATCACATGGCTGACAGGCACCTCCTCCACCTCAGCACCATCCAAAACATCACATGATGAGCAGAGGATTCAGTCATGTGCACTGGGTCCACTGAAAGGGGTAAGGAAGGCTAATACAGAAGATAAAAATCTAGAGATAGTGAAAAGCATGAGGATATTTCAAGTTTGGATACAGCCCCCTGTGAGGCTGGGCACCCATTTCACATGGTCTTTGCAAAGTCTTTAGAGATGAGGAAAAGACTGGCAGCCATCTGGTCCTACTACAAAAAATATGTAATACTGAACACATCTGGGAAGCACTGAAGTGCAATGAAAGGACATTTGGCCTTCTTTTTTTTTCTTTTTCTCAAATGCTATTTTAGGTGAGGTCAGTGCTAAAAGCTATAAAGTGGTTACATTATAAATGGGCTATTTTAAAAATAGTATACTATAGGCAGAGATGCAATATAAAATAAAAATTGGACTTTAAATTCTGCTCATTTTTTTACATTATGGAGGAAAAAGTGCTCTTTCTGTGTATTGTCAACAAAGAATATTAAATATCTGATTGTTTCAGACAGGGTGAACACTTCCATTTATACTCATTTATCACTAAGGAAACAACTCCTGAGCTTGCAAAAATCACTAAACAAAACCTCAAACCATAATAACAAATAAAAGTAACAATGTGGTCTAATAGTTTTTGCGGTTTTAAAATTCAGATTGAGTTATGACTGTCTTGAATCCTTATAAAAGAGATTTGAAACTCTTACTAATGTAGAAATATAGCACTTACTATACCTCTTAGAAGACAGCTGTGTTGTGACTTGAACAGCTTCGAAAGCACATGATACCAGAACAAATGGGATTACAACCTGTTTAAAACACAAGCTACATGTTGGCTTACAGTAATATTTACAAAACAACCTGGGCACGTTGTGGAAATATGTTCTTGCTTTTCAAATTATCACAGAATGTCTATGTTAAGAAAATAAAATATAGGCTAGACAGAGTAGAAAATAATTTAGCAGGAAACACTTCCATTAAACGAAAAACTATAATTAAAACACATTAATGATCCTCACTTCATTTATCCATTTTAGCACGAGTGATAAACACTGCAACAAGACTAGAAGTCTCAACTATTCAGATTCAGTATCTCATGTGACAGGCTGCAGAGCTCCAAGTATAATAGGACAATCTCATCTCATCTCAGCCACAAAAAAAATCTGAATATAGAATGCATTCAGTAAGACAAGGATCATAGTGCCCCTCAAAAGCCAATTCAAACACATGGTTGAGTAAATTAAGAACAAAATAAACAAGTTAGAAATATGAACGTTGCCTTTTGCTCTTTACAAAGCTGACTTGCAATCCTTAAGTTAGCCATGTCAACATATTGCTAAACCTGATTTCTTGCATCCAGAAGGTTTGCATTATTGGTGACCTGCCATATAACATGCAGTATACCTGTAATTTAAGTCTGCTTTCTCTAGGACAGAAGCAGCAGAAAGGCAGAGACAGGAAATACTGCTTATTTTAGCAATCACCAAAAAGTCAGTGTTCCCCTTCACCCCTCTGGCAGATCCTTTACTCAAATACTCTAGAAAAGAATTCCCATACCTTGCCTGCAAACAAGAAGTGCATGCAATCCAATCTTTGACAGACTATTTAAAAATATAAAAAATAATATCCGTTGTAAAATGATAACCTAATCAGTAGAACATTCAAAGCCTGTACTTAATGTAATATAGTTAAAGCTAATAATATATTTATAATCTTAACATTTCTGTAGATATTATGCTAAACGAAAAGATTATAATTTTTAAAATGAATTAAGTCTTTTCAACATTTGATATTTCCACTTTAATACAATATACTGACCTAATGCTGTTATATTATACCTCTGTACACTTTAGCTTCTCTCTGTTGGGAAATAGAATGATCTCTCTCTAGAAACACTCCAAAGGCTGAAAGCTTCACACGTCATTAAGAAGGCCAATGAAGCTCAAATACATATATATGTTTTTGTGAATCCCAAAGTAACAACCATGTACATTATACATTATTTATTCAACAGTTCTTTGAGAGAATTTCACTAAGGTAAGATTACTAACCTTCAGTACAAGCAAGCCTCCCATCATGAAGGGACTGAACACAGTCAAGAAACAATAGACAGAAGCAGGATCAAAACTAAAGAAACATGAAAAAGACATTATACATCTTTGAAATGGCATTTTCCATTAAAAAATAGAGCATTTAGTTACCCTGTAACACACTGAGTGTACATACATTTTTAAACAAGGTTTCCAACTTTCTCTTCTCTTGTTGAAATATTAAATTAGCAGGGACTACCAGCCTCACTTCTCTTTCTCTACAATTTTTCTCTGCTTATGTTTTTCGAGGTGCCATGCTGATGGTGAGCAACCAAACTCTCTCTGTTCATGCTGTCAGTAACTTCTAACAGAACTGAGACAAATCTCATAACCAACAATTTCAGGCTCTTCAGGGACATGTCACAGAGAGCAGAAGCAAAATAAATCATCACCATTCCACTGATTATTGCTTTAACTCTGCTGCCCTGATTTTGCTAACTAAATTTATATTCAGTATGTCAACTGCAGGAAGAATTTTTTGCATCCTGTGTCTCAAATCAATGAATAAAATTTACCTGTTAATAGAAGCTATGTTTCCGGTGCCAAAAAAGGCTGTCACTATGAAGAAAACCTAAATGTATTTAAGGACAATACACCACAGAAATGGTTACAATAAAATAAAAATCCAGCATTTCCCCCCACCTTCATTCCAATTTACTTTCAAAATCTATCATGAAATTACAAGACGCTGACCCACTATGACAGCTTATACTGCATTAAGAAATCCCAAGTATTGCCTAGCTCTACCCTAGATTTCACAAATGACTAAGTCAATTTTAAAATGTCAGGGACTGCCTGGGTAAGGGTTTAGAGCCTGTCTTGAGGCCCCTGTAAGAAAGCTGCAGCTAGCCTCCTGGGCCCCTACCTGGCAATACAGGAAATATCTGGACCACAAACCCAAGTGAGCATTCAAACACACACGCTTTTGCAGACAGTAATGACATATGCGTGTGTTCTGCACACCAAAAGAGATGGCTTTATTGAGGAACTGACCATGGAAGAGGTAGCTGGCTCTTAAACAAGATTAAAGGTTTATCCTTCCCATAGATCTGTTGTCCAAAGGTTATGCTGAGTCTACCCATTGCAACACAGGATGCCCATTTTTTATCTTACTTGAGGGAGGGAGGATGAATCCAGCAATATCCGTATAGCTGGAAGTTTTTTGATAAATCCTATACTTTTCATCTAGATGCAACACTTGCTGCTATATGAGCCCACAAAAGACATTTTTCTACCTCCTGAGCTCATTGGAGCCCATTATAGCTCACACAGCTTCAGCTGAAGGATGGTTTTTAACTGCTTTTTTGCATAAGGCAGAGGGTTAGTTAGTGAGGATGGTTGTTGCTGCCAGGGCTCCCTCTGGTCCTTTCGCTCCTGTTATAGCTCCTGCACTGGATCATTTAAGTCTCTCCATAAACAATTTGCTACCAACTGTTCAGTAGAATTGTTGGGATTCCTCATGCAATATTTTGGAAGGATTAGGTCAGCATAGCTGAAGAAATTATGCTTCCCAAGAGTATCACATAACTTCAAGTTTAGTAACACAGCAGTCTAACAGAATAGCACAGTTCTGCCAGCTAAGATTTATAAGAACAAGAGGTCTGCAATAAAACAAACAAAAAAATACCAGTGGCACATAGGTCTAATCGAAATGCTAAGCATGAATCTTCTTCCCTAAGACGAGGCTATACAGTCTCTCAGCAAATGCTGACTATTGGGCCCTATATAGGAACCTTGAGACAATCTTAAGACACACAGTTCGCAGGATCATAGTTGCACTATGACTGCTCTAGCAGAAAAGGTTTCTCCTCTAATACCACTATTTCTAAACATTAAACAGCACCTAAATTAAAAAAGCCACAGCATCTTTTGAGCATCATACCTGGTCTCTGCAAAGGAGATCTGCACACTGTTTATCTTTTCAGGTGCTGAACAAAATACATTCAAGTGTTTTAAATTAAAGTAGTGCTCACTGGTGGGGCACTGTGAGGAGCAGAAAAGGCCTTGACTCTGTGTAAGCACTGTACTATCAACACTGTTCTCAGCACAAATCCAAAACATAGCTTCACCCTAGCTATCATGAAGTGGTTTCTGTTATACTTCCTCTGCTGCAGGTTCCCAGTGTTCAACAGCATAGTTCCAAATTCAAAGAGTGTGGACTCTGTGACTGTGATACACTCTCTCAGATTTGGTTATTTGGCAAACTGTAAGGTCTGTTTTTGCAAGAACCACTATTGAGACAACTCTCTCTGCAACTACAATAACCCACCTGCACTAGAAATTCCTGTGTTCTAGACTAGCTCATAATTTCTCTCTTACTTGTCCACTGATCATCCTTCCTGCCAAATAGCTCTCACTTAATTACAGTCCCACAATGAAAGAGAAAAATTACAATGCTATCAAGTCTGTACAGTATTAAAAAAAATATCAGTTGCAGTTTCAGCTACAGCAGTGTAAACTAACTTCTATGTTAGAGAATGAACAGCTCTTCCCTCCTAAGCCCACATCACCTCTAACAGCAGAAATCACTTGTGATATAAATAATTCTAGGCCAGATTCTGTGAAAGTGTATTACTAAGAGCCTGCAGGAAATTTCTTTCTTGTCTCATCTGCTTGGCCATGGCCCATGCCTGCTTCCTAACATTTGCTTCCTAACACACTGCCATACTCTAAAAATGAGAATAACTTTAATATCACCTTTTTCAACTGAGTCATGAAGGTGAATGAGTTCCCTCCAGCCAAAATGTAATAGAACAAAAACAAACCAAAACCAGAACTCCTTAGAAGAAAGTTTACCTCAGCTGTAGTGGTTATAAGTGGGCAAGGAACCAGATTTCAAAACAGTGCATTTTTAACTACTTGATGAAAAAGCATAATGTACAAGATCATTGCCTTTTGAGCAACATGAGTCAAATCATCTTTACCAGCTTCTGTTTCCAGTGACTACCAGGCTACAAATGATGATTACAGGTCTTTTTCAAACAAACTCATCTTTTCCCTGGAATGCAGCAACCAGTAAAAGGATACAAAGAAGAAGGATCTCCGAACATCATCTAGGTGGAGCTGTCGAAACTGAGTTATATCCACAGCATAGGCAAAGTTGAAAACAGCAAGCTGGAAAGAGAGCAGAAGAAATCAATACTGAATATCAGCTGATGGACTTTGATAGAGCCAATATATTTTTACTGAAATGAATGAGAAAAAAACCTACTTCCCTATCATCTGTTATTAAAGTATTATAATGAGGATCGCAAACCTTTCCCGTATTTCCATTATACTTTATTGAATTAATGAATCTGCCAGAAAGACTGTACAAGTGAGATGATCAAATGAACAGTGGAGCTTCCGCTGTTATCTACACTAAAAATGAATTTCTATGCCTTAGACTTATCATCATAAATATTCCTCCTACACACACACACACTTCCACTGCTCACACAAGCATGTAGATAAAGACCTGCAGAAATAAAAGACTGCAATTATCCTCATTTGACTTCTTTTGTGAATGAAAATACTAAAATATTCTCCATCTCCTTTACTCAGGTCTCAGCACAGTATCACTTGAGCTGAAGAGAAGTTATCTTTATGGAATTTAAGAGGTCAGTGAACTGCTTTTCACTAGGGAAAAGAAAAAAAATCAAGTAATAGGCATTCAACACTGACAAAGTTTTAATTAAAAATAATCTCACATCATCAGAGAACTGAGCCGGATTCTCTAATATAAGATTTACTTTGCAGCATATATTAACAGGCATTCTAGGGATGATTTTTTCTAACCTAAAACATAAAGCACAGGTAAGCGTTTTTGTTCCTTTCACTTGAAACCAAAAGTTTTAAGTGAATATTGACATACAGGAAGTGACAACATAAAGAATTACAGCACACCCATGTTCTTTTCATTTGCATTTGATTAATAAAGTGTTTATAACTGTTTAATACTGTTTTAATAGAAATTTTTTTACAACAAAGAGAACACCAGACCAACCACACAGATGCCTTGTTATAAGATGTAAAAGACAGAGTGGGTTCTAGAGTGGAAGAGAAAGCACATCCCACAGATGCCAGGCACCCTTAGTTGCAATCATGGCATCACACTAAATGTACATTTTTGCATTCAGATTCCAACTCTATCACTTAAGATGCCACAAAACATGCTCACACTCATCATCCTAACTAAATGTAGCATAAATTAAAAGTGATTCCTGATTTTATTTCTGATATTCAGCCTTGAATTGGTAAAACCTGCTCTCTCTCAAGTTTCCAAACTGCCTTTCTTGTAAGAGCACAACAAAAACACAATATGTGTCAGGTTCGCTCTCATGACTGCTTTGGCTCAGATTTCAATCCCAAAATAATCTTCTAATCTCCCTAATTATCATGAGCTGCAAAAGGAAGGAAAGATGTGTACCAACCCTTCTCTTCAAGTGACTTTGGCCATTCCCATGCAACAGTAACCAGGTTCTCTGTGACCTGCACCAAGGAGGTTCATTTGGGAGGAACAGGGGAGAGCTCTGCTGCACAACTACCTGACTCCAAAGACCCAAAAAACTGCAACAAGCACGTGGATCTAACCAAAACAATGGCATAGCCACAGTTTGTTAAACCCTCGACCTAACCTAAGAGCTAAGTTGCATCGTGAGCAGCATGGGCTTTGCAAATTGTTGACAATATACTAAGTTTTAAGGTGAAAGAAGCTGCGTTGATTTCAAAACTCCCTCTTCAAGCAAATCTGAGAAGGTGCTAGTTCCAGGCTAGTCTCCAGCTCCATGTCTGTCTAAACAGAGAAAAATCTCCGTTCCTGAACAAAGAGTAGGACAAAGTCAAATAATGATTTCTAATATTTCTTATGTGACTTTTCAGAAATCAAATTATTTCTTTTCAGCTGACTCTGAGATCAGAATAAAAAAAGTAGTCACATTGTACTCACTCTAAAAAGACTTACTGTACCTTATGCTGAATTAGCACTATACTTAATGAACAGAGCTTTGAAGCCTACAAAACATACCACTAGGTCTTACTAAGTCAAACTGTCTTCCTGTATTCCTAGAAATGGCTCTGATGTGCAATATTTTCAATAACACAAATTACAAATCTTTCTTACAAGGTCACATTGCTAGTCCATGAAACAGCTGATAAGGGCTTCCCAAACTTGAAGAAATGCAAAGTGCTGCCGTCTGAAAACCACTCAGAATATTTATTTCATTCTCAAAAGAAAAAAAAAAAAGAAAAGCTGTTACTTAACCAGATATATCTGTCAAGAGCTCTTACCTTTGGTTTGAGTGAAAGACCATAGTGCTGCAGTGCTTCTTGCTCCATATTTATCCACACAAACATCAAACCAAATAGTACCAGTGGAAAGAGAGCTTCGTATCTGAAGAGTAACATAATGATCATAGTAAATGTAGTCACTAAGAACTAAACATCAAATGCCGACATGTTTCTTTTCTTTTTTCTTCACACAAAGAATATACCAAGACCTAGCGGTACTCTCTCCCTTCTCTCCCCATTTCTGAGTACCCACAATTGGTTGGTTGAATTTTAAGTCCATACAGTAAAGAGTAAAAGTATGAGAAACAGATGTTACTTCAGCTCGGTTGTGTTTTGCGCCCATTTTCTTATTTGAGGGCTGCCACAACATTGTATGAGCAACTTTTTTAATTCTAACAAAACTGGAATAAAGTTAAAAAGAAGTAGGAGAAAAAGAATCACATTTGACATTCATTTTCTGTGAAACGGAAAATTTTATTATGAGAGCTACTTGGAACTGAGGAGTTACAGTCCAACTCAGACAGCAACTATAGATTGTGTCTCCTTAGGACCTAATCACACAAACTCATTCTGGTGATCTCAGTTTAGTTCTGGGAGGAGAGAGGCATCTGTATACTAAAAAGAGCATGACATTTCACTGAAGTGAAATACACCAATATAGTACTATATACCAACCCTTCATAATAGCAGTCCCGAGTCACAGTCTAACCATGGCCAGTAAGCTGTTCTAGCTACACCCTCCATCTCAGAGGAGTACTTCTGGCTCCTACAGCACTCAAATAGCAAAGTATGAGTGCACTTACGTGAGAGATTAAGACCCACAGATAACACAGTGGTGTAGATTGTAATGGGATAATATTTAGTTTCTCCTTGCCCTCTACATCTCTGTTGAACTTCATGATACATCTCTATTTTTTTTTCCAGGATAAAATTCACTGACTGTGATACTAATACTGACAAGATTGTAAATGTTTTCCTTTTTATTTTTTCCTCCTTAGACACACACTTGTTTGTCTGAAAATAAGAAAATCATCGCAGTTAATCTTAGTATTGTTCCTCTTGGGCTCCCCACTAGCACAGCAACAAAGCAGTTTCAGGCTGGAACAAAAAATTTGAATAGACATTTCTGTTTAATTACCAGAATGACAAGATGTTAAACATGAAGACAACAACAGCTGGGTTGTCAGTAAACAGAAGTACCTACAATCCTCATAATGGCCTACACTTGCCTACAAATTAAATGCCTTCAACTGAGTCAGTGACAACTGGCTGTATGTAACCATGATCTCCAGCTGGCTTCAATACTCCCATTAACTGCACCTAGAGAGGTGCTGTAATTAGCCAGACAATGTTCTGGGTTACGAGTAAAAGGTATAAGAGCACCCTGAGGAGAGAACTACCGGATACTTTCGGTACCAAGTGCTTTGGCTTTTCTCTTCTTTTTTAAGACTTATTCCAGAATTTTTTTTTTCTATTTGGACATTTTAGGAAGACAGCAGAGAACCATCAGAACTGTCAGTGTTTACATGGTCTGCTGCAGGGCTAAAATACAAAGAGGGTGATTGCCAGCTTCAGAGAGAACAACATTCATGCTTTATCCAGTAGCAGCACAGGCTAAGAAGGTTGAGTGTAAGAATGTGTGTGCAGTCAGGAGTAACATTAGGATCAAAATCTTAATGGGGAAGTGGGAGGAAGGGGAGGCAGAAGATAAAAGAAAAAAAGAGATGCTTCAACCAAAATGAGAGTATCCACAGGAGGCAGCTATTGCAAAATGTCTGCTGCAAGATATTTAATACCACTTAATTTTCCAGTGTAATTAAATCCAGAGGATAAGTGGGAGGGGAAGCAGAAAGAATGGTTCCTATACTCCCCTTTAATTATGCTCTTAAGAGCTACCAAGTCTGAAAGAAAAGAAAGGGTGGGCTGACATAGTGTTTTCTTCATTTAAAACACCAGAGGAGTTGACTTTTATCCAAAAAGAAGCAAGATCTAGTCTTTATGGGAACAACCATCCCTTTAGAAAAAAAATTACTTCCATGAAAATCTCTCAGAATAAAATTTTCCCTCATTTTGGGACTACCTGTTTCCTGCCCCACATCATTTAAGCCATAACTAGACACCAGTGCTGAGCAGCTGAGAGGAACCATTTCCTTTTGTTTGCAAGCAGAAAAGCACAAGTCAGAACAACAAAGGACATAAACTAAACCAGACTTCCTTATTTTACTGCAAGACTGTTTGAATACACACCCTTCCAGGCACAGCTTCGTCTAGTTGAAAGGAATGTCAACAAACTAGTGTTTATAATACAAGCAGGAATATGGAAGTTCCTCTGAAATTTTATTTAGTAAACTAAACAAGGAGATAAACAGTGATACTACAGTTGGAAGCAAATGTTACACCTTCAACAGAACTGCGCGTGAGATGAAGCAGCTTCACATACAGCCCTGGGTTTTCATATGTAAAACCAATCCAAACAGAGTAAGAATGAAGTACCCTGTGCTGAGGAGCAGGTAGGTGGACATCAGGGAGAGCAATATGCTGAACAGTCGCTGAAAGAGAAACGTGGGGCTCAGTAACAGCAGCACTGGGGAAGAAACTGCAACAATAAGAAGAGATCTGTCAGTCACAACATGCAAAACATTTCATCCTTGGTAGCAAGGTAATATTCTTCAAATCTTGACACTTCATGTACAGAAATTCAATACAGGTCATATATGATCCTCTCTTTTCAGAAGTTACTTTAGCTAAAGAAAAACCAATGTTTGGAATGCTTCACATTTATCAAAAGTAATTTTAGTTCTCTATAATTTTAATTCCCAGTCTTTCTACCTCACAGCATTTATAATTTCTCATGAACTGATACTAATAGGTCCTTAGGAAGATGCAGAAGTGCTACTCTAGAAACCAGCGGAACCTGACTGTTTAATGCTCCTCTGAGAGCCCCTTACCATGGCTCTGAGGACTTCTGGTAGCTCGAAGACTGCAGTGACAGAGTCACTGCTCCGTTGCATTAGAGTCATAGAATGGCTTGGATTGGAAGGGACTTTAAAAATAATCTTGTTCCAATCCCCCATGGGCAGGGACACCTTCCACTAGACCAGGTTGCTCAGAGCCCCATCCAATCTGACCTTCTGTTCTTAGTAGTTAGATTAGGAAACCTGACACATTCTAAGATGCAACCGAAAATACTGGTAATAAAAATACAGAAACCATCAACTTATTAGGTTCTCTACTCAAAACTTTTAAAACAGGAATATTTAAAGACCTACAAAGGACGTATCTGTCATGACTCAAACATCTCGCCTTTCTCTAATGCAGATGTGAGGTCTTAGGAGTTGCACATCACTTCTTAGTGCAGCCCATGGCTCAACTGCCCAGTCGACCCTTGTTAGCAGAGTCCGTGCTGCTCCTAAAGAGACTCCTCTAGCTGGGAAACCTCTGCTGGTCAGGACAGGGACCAACAGTTTGCAGGAGGTGAGGATAATTGGGAAGAGAAGAAACAGAATACTGCAACAGCAAGTGAAGAGGAAGAAAAACAGGGGAGAAGTGGCCATTGCTTTAAATAAAGGGAGAAGGAAAAGCATTGCTGTGATTTAATCTTTAAACATGATCTTTTTTTTTTATATGAAAATGGTATGTTTATAAAGAAGTATGCTGACAAATAACATTCATGGGATTCTTCACTGCAGTATAGTACCCTCACATTACTGAATCATTCAAAGACTGCATCAACAATAAGTCATAATTAATAGTCACACTAAGGAACAGAAATAAAACTAATATATGGAAAGTGCTCCCTTGCTATTATAATCATAGTATACATTAGTATTTACAGTAAACATATCAATGAAAGAGAGACGAGGCGGTTTCTAAATGCTGTGGGTCAGTATGTTTTATTTTCTGGCTTTCAGCCTTGGCCACTGCTACAATTACAGAATAAGTGACTTCAAGGATGCTCCAGAAGGCCTGACTCAAGGAGGAACTCCAGGGACCTCACTGCAAGTCAGAACAGCTGGAAGTCAATTCAGCATGGCAACTGGCCTCTGTGAATGACACTCAACATATCAGATTTGCAACACTCTCTGAGTGCAATCATAGATGAGAAGAGATGAGTGGCTGGTAGGTGATAATTAGCCTTTCCCTTACATTTCTGATGTGACACATCAGATATTAATCAGAAAAAGACCTACAGCTTTTCCACTGATGAAAATTTTAAGACATAACATAAATTTAGAAATACCTGCTAATATAAAGACAGTTCTCAAGAAGATGGGTAGCAGTTGGATTAACTTTATACCTTATGGTTTTACCTCTGTGTTAGTGGTTAACACATAGTACATGAATCATAAGGTGTAACAGCTAAAGCCAGTTGGACATGGGTCTGCAGGAACCCACTCATCATGAATTCATTTGCCTGATTCTCCAAATACCAGTCTTTCTTAAAAAAAAAATAAAATTTAGATTTAAGTTAAAATGTAAACAAATTAGGCTTCATATTAATCAGAACAAATAGCTGGGAAGGGGGCTAAAAGTCTTATTATCGTACTGACATGATAATAATATCAGTATTATTATGAATAAATACTGATAACTATGTTTCTAGTTCTATAAATACATAGAGATGCAAAATGAGAGTTCAGTAAGTAACAGTGTTATTCTTCCACAAGTAAGTAAAAAGATGAAGAGGAGTTTGACCACCTGTAATACCACCAACCTTGGAAAAGCTACAGTTGACTCTGGTACCTTAATTTGTGGTACCCACCAGGAACAAGGCAGGTGCTAGTTGTGGTTATGGTAGTGTCAAAGCACTTCTCTCCAAGAGGAGTACTGAGGACATGTTGGATGCCTTAGTGTTTTGCCTGCTTATTTCCGTGTTTAATTATGGAAAGCAATTTCAGCAAGTACACAAGGCTTCAGTATTTCCATTAACTGCACCTAGAGAGGTGCTGTAATTACCCGGACAATTTATATCATATTCACTTAAAAAGATTACTTCCAGTCTGAAAGACTTTGCTAAAATATTCAATACTACTGTGGCAGCAAGTAGACTGTTTGGTACCTACAGTTTACTTCACTGTTAAGCTTTATTTTTATCATCACCCACAGCAAAGAGAATTTCTAATATACTTTTTTCTCATAACTCCAAACCTCTCTGACTGACTGAATCATCTCTCAGATGAAAAATGTTTCTCTTTCATCCTTACACAGGAGAGAAATATAACCTTTATGCTCAATTCCTGCTCCAGTAAGCCAAGCAGGACCTCATTGATTTCATTGACTTTACAACTGCAAGAAACTCATCCACACAGAGATCCCCATTTAGCTTAGCAGGCTACAAAGGGTTAGGAAAGCATGATGGAAAGGAAAATGCTCCAAAGAAAACTACACTACTAAGGAAGCATTGCCTATACACACTCTGATCACAATCACTGGAATTAATCTTGAATCCATTTGCTCAAACAGAAGCAGGATGCTAAAATTGACAAGATCTGCTGAAGTTAAAACAATGTCACCTGTACAGGAACATACAAGACATCCAGCAACTAGATAATATGAGTCATAATTCTTTAGCTAAGTTATGTTTAAATTCCTGAGCTTGACTTCTTGCAAAGAGCTGCTATCAAACTTTGCATGGGATATGTTTAGCTCTAAAATAAATCCCACATTTCAGATCACTCAGGGATAAACTATGCTTAGCATTTTCTACTGGAGCCCTAGAGAAATTATTTTATAGCTGAAATATGAAAGGTATTGCTTTACTGTATTCCATAAACTCAGTGACAATTACATTTGCTCTGTTGAATCATTGTAAGATTTTCATTGGAGAGGTGAAAATTCCATGGACTTTTAAGTTGCTTTTTTCTTTAATAACTAGGCTCTAACAAATATCAGTCATACACTAGCATCATTATTTCACAGGTATTTTTCAAGGCAGCTCTCAAAACCACTTCCACACCCCAAGGGTCTCCGCCATCAGCTGCAACTTCAAGTTTGCCTTGAAATACAACAACAATCTTTCCTCATTTCCTTATGCTTAATTGGATTGCTTGCAGAACATCTCAGATCACCCTTATCTGGTTTCAAGTGAAACAAGGAGGGCATTTATACCGTTGCATCCCTAAAAGGGGTTTTCAAGATATTCTGAATACTCAAAACATAAAGCTACTTGTAAATCAAAGGTATTTGCGTTTTATCACAAACCTACAAAGGAATAATATTTTAGAAGACTAACACATTCCTCAAAAATCTCACTTAGGAAAGCAAACACATAGAGGAACTATCAGGAGTCAAATAAAGGAAAGTAGGATGGTAACGAAAAAGTGACATCATCCACCATCCAACCCCACACTCTGCAAACTGTCAGAAGTTTGAGAGAGAAGATTTTCTTACCTAGAATCATCCAGCTAACAATTTGATTCAATACAGGCAATCCCAGTTTGTTCTTAAGACTGTCATGGGTACTGCTCACAACATATGTCGAAAGACCAATACTCAACATCTAGAAAGAAGAAATGAAACACAACATTAATGTATGGATCTCTTCCATGCCATACTAAATATGTAAATATGCTTTGGAGTTGCATAAATACCTCCTCTGAATCACCATAAGAACAGGAAGTCTGATATGTAGTGTTAAGAATTTCTAACTGTTTATAATTTATAATTACTAGCTTTTTAAAACTTCCTTCTAGTTTATTTTTTACTAGTACGCTTATTATTATTTATTCGTGCTATTTTAAAATAGCATGAACAAGAGCCCTGGATCACTGATTTGACAGGATATGCTCTTTGTCAAGAGTAACTACTTAAACACTCATGCAAACCACAGAAAACATACACCCCCAGCTTTCAAAGGTGCACTTGTCCTCAAATAACCACCACTAAGAACAAGCAGAACCTTTGGCTTTGCTGCAGGATCAGGTACAGAGCAAAGGGGAAGGGTAGTTAAGCCAAGAGCTTTGCACAGGCAAACCACCTCCTGTAAGAAGAGAAGTAGCAGTGGAACAGATTGGAGGTGGCTTTTAAGGGATGGAAAGAAGCTTTTTTCCCCCTTCAATTAAATTGTCTGAGCCAAGCAGAGCCCTCTGCCTTGAAGAAGCAGAGAAGCTGAAGAGGGTTTTTTCCTTGACTAATTCAAGAGACACCATTCAGTCATCAAGTACATGCAAAAACCTCATGAGTCAGTTATTTTTGAAAGGTGACAATTATGCAAGAAAATGTTTGAGTCAAGTTTTCAATTACAGCTATTTATTCACAACTCTGCGGTTCCACTAAAAGGCAAATCAAGCATGCACAGTACTTTGCAAACATGTGCTTTAAAACTGCATTACAAGATGTAATTGCTCTTGTGGCTTTTTTAGTGTGCAGCAACTACCCAGGGTTCACATCCATCACTTCTTGCCATACAAATAGTTGCTATTTTCCTGCTAGACACAGTGATACCTAGGTATCAGCCCAGAGGATACACTTAGCAGTCAGCATTCATTTTTGGCCAGTCTCAAAGGTGCTCAGTATCTGCTGCTTCTATTTAATTTGAGGCCACAAGAACATGTACCTTGTACTTCTCTGTGACATCAATAACCAAGGTCAAAACAGTAGGCATTCAAAAGCACAGGGAATTGGACCCTTTAGACCTCTGATGTTTATTTTGGATACTTTTGTTGCATTCAGGCCTTTGATATATATTTTCAAGTTCTTTTAGTGTCACGAGCTCCGGTAATCCCTCTGCTATCTCCCTAGACACTGGTGCAGTCACTTTGCACTCACTTTGTGTCATGTCCCATAACGTACCTTGCACCTTGGAAGACTTGTGATGACCTGGGCACGTTAGTAAACACAATGTACTGCTGCAAGATCTATACCAGTGTCCACGGAAGGGCTCAGCAGCAGCTTTTAAGAATCCCATGTTCACAGTTTAAATCATGTTCAAACTGCTCTCAGCTTTTACCATCACCTCCAGGGCTGTCGAACCAAGTAGAAGCAACTTGGAGATGGAAACAGCTAAGAAACTGTCTTCCTTCATCCTTCACAACCTTCTCTGAAGCTCTGAACAGCTTAAGAGCAGGTCTCTGAGACACACTTGTCCGTAGGTCACAAACCAAGGGTGACACCTGCAGTCCCAATACCGCCAGCTGCTCTGCCTGCTCTAGTTTTCCTAGAGATCTGTCATGGAAATGACCCGAAGGCATAACAGTAGAAGAACTAGCATCATCAGCTGGGCACAAGGCTGGTTGAAAACACCCTTCCTTCCCGTGGTTCCAAGAATATAACATGGATTCCTACTGTTTACTTCTCCTCCTATTCAGAAGATGTGTATATGTTGTACTTAGGGACATGGTTTAGTGGTGATCTTTGCAGTGTTAGGTTAATGGTTGGACTTGATCTTACAGGCTTTTTCCAAACAAAGTGATTCTATAATTCTAACTTAGAGGAGAAAACTAATAAACTGATCACCTCGTACACACATGAAGTTCAAGGCTCCTAGGAATAATAACTTGGTGCAACACTATCAAGCAATGGAAACATCACTGTTTTCAGTAGTGCAGCAAACACTGGACATCACCTATGAAACTGCTGTCAGAGAGAAATTAGTGCTCTCTCCAACAAAAAAATTAAGTAGTACAGTAAGCACTGCAGCAGTCAAAAGGATTATGAATGACTCCTGTTTTCATCACTCCTGAAGCCCTAGTGACCTCTCAGAGATCATGGAATCAAAGAATTGCTTAGGTTTGCTTAGGTTTAAACCAGTGAGCCAACTAACAGCATTGTCAAGTCCACCACTAAACCATGTCCCTAAGTGCCACATCTACATGTCTTTTAAATACCTCCAGGGATGGTGTCTCCTCCACTTCTCCAGGCAGCCTGTTCCAATGCCTGATAAGCCTTTCTGTGAACAATTTTTTTCTAATATTAAATCTAAACCTCCCATGGTGTGACTTGAGGCCGTTTCCTCTTGTCCTATCACTTGTTACTTGGGAGAAGAGACCAACACCCATTTCACTAGAGAGAATTCACCAAAAGGCAGTTCCTTGCCATAGCAAACAAAATTCAGTTAAAAAAAATGTTATTCCCTCTTAATGATCTCAAAAGAAAACCTGACAAACTCCTGGTAGTTTTCAAAAACTGTGAAGGTGTAACTAGTACCTTCTGTCTCAAGCAGTGACATGCATCAAAACTTCAAAATTAGGTCTAAAAATAACTGAAGTTTTTGTAACACAAATGCAAATGTAACCCTATGAAGTTACTCAAGCTTGCATTTTTACTTTAAAAATGTCTTTATTTACACGCTTTTACTGAAAAATCTTTTTGATCATGCTGTTCTGTTGTCTAAGACTTTTTTGTTACTTTAAGGCTGATACACATGTTGAAAATATACAGTGTGTATGCACAAAAACCAGGGAATAAATGAGCAGCTTGTAAGTGGCCACTTAGACTCTGTCCCATCCATGGAGAAACCAACACAAAAATAACACTGTTCAGGACCAGATTGGAGGGAATTATCTTTTCTGTGAAGGACTGCCTGCAAACTGGCAGGTTTTTCACCTACTCTGTTGGTATCTGCCAGCTCAGGTTTCTTTTTGACCAAAAGGAGAGCAATTACTGTAATGGAACAAGCTTTGTTCCTTACAAGGCATGATATTTTCACTACAGGCTAATTTCCAGATGAAAAAGGAAGCTCACTTGGACAAGAAAGAACAAAGTTGTCTACAGAAGAGAACAAAATTCATCGTAAGTACAACAAAAAGCATAGGCTATGCTGAATGCCTTTCTTTCTGTGACTGAAATAGGAAGAGAACTGAAAAGGGAAGTGTCTTTATTCAGATGTAATTCCAAAACAATTTGTGAAGAACAACTCAGGCAAATAAGAACCACTTGAGCCTTTAAGAAATATTATCTTATTTCTTGTAAGAAAATGCATCTCATCCCAAATCAGCAGATGCAAAAAAATTGAGGTGAAGTGAAATGAAATGAAAGATTTAAAAAAGGGTTCTTGCATGCAGACACCATCAAAACAAAGGGAAAAATTATTAAAAACAAACAAACAAAAAACCACAAAGCCAAAGCCAAAAAGAAGTCATGAGATTCTGATCAAAGTAGCAAAAAAGTTTGGCCAGATTAATAAAACTTTTGCTAAATGGAAAAAAAACCCCACAAAAACAGCTAGACTCTCCAGCTATTCCTTTTCCACTGTGTAATTCAAAGGCTTTTCGTCAGAGCTGAACCTATAAAAGGTGTTAGGAGAGCAGTTAAAGAAATCCCCCCAAAAAAACAAAGGAGTGAGGGACACCACATCTTCCACTTCAGTCAACACTTGGAAAAAAGTGGAACACAGGGAAGAAGGACCTACAGCGAATTCATCTATCCTCTCATTCCCCAAAATGAAGAAACATCAAAGAAACAATCTTAATTTCCTCTCTAGGAAGGAACAATACTATGAGAGAAAAGCATAACCTTCAGTGACTGCCTCCAAACACCACTTATGGGGGAGCTGCAAAGCCTACTTTTAAGAAACCCCTTGACAGATGCAAAGCAGGGATCTGATTGAGTGTACTTATGAATATGCATGTCAGTGCCCTGATCACTGTCTGTCACTGCAAAATGGGTATGTTTCCTCTGACCAGGGGATTCATCTCACTCCTAAAGCTGTCTGGGAGCTGTAAATCAAAACTCAGGATTTCCAAATGCTCTAAACAAGCATTTTGAAAATTATCCCTTCCTGTTCCCACCGAGAAGTCCAACTCAAAGGAAAACATAAAAGGAGAATGAGGGAATTCTGTTGCCTAGAAATACTCAGATTCTGACAAGCATTTTCCTTTCGTATTCCTGCACATTTCAAAGCAACTAAATGCAACCTAACCTCAGAACAAGGTATTTATTTAGAAACAAGTATAATGCCTCCGTAATGTCCTTTCCCCCCTCTACATCTGAATAATCTCACCTCTCAATCCTTTCCTTACCCAAAGTATGAATGGTGGATCCCATGGTTTCCATTCCCAAGTAAGGTGCTGAAACAAAAGTCTAAAGGAGACTAGTAATTAGATGTCACTATTGTAAAGTATCTTCCGATTAAGGGGCAATTTGAGGAACCTTATGGTCTTCTTAAAGGTTGGGAGAAAAATTAAGACATTACTTTCTGAACAAGTAAGCAGAACATTTTCATCTAATTAAGTACCTCAGGCCTCTGTGAGTGAATTTCCTGATTCTCTAAGTTTGCCCAAGAACACTCTGGCATTACTTTTTTACTACAGATCTATTTCTTCATCATCATAATTTGTGAGCTTCTCCACAAAGTTACACCACATGAGGTGCTGCAGCAGTTGTGTGCTGAGTTGAGGTTAGACAGCTGCCCACCCAGCTGCTCCCTCATTCCTTCATCCAGTGCAAGTTGTTTTCAGGCATTCCAGTGAAAAACCCATTGCTGATTCTATACTGGAAATATATGTTCTAAAGGCTTAGGAAAAGAACTGGCACATCTTTTCCACATGAAAGCTGTAAAAGTTCAGAGAAATCACCACCATATTTTACATGCCTTCATGCTCAGGTGAAGGCATTTTAACTATTCATTACTGTTTCCCCTCCTCCTTTCAACCAATTTGAGCTCTGTACCTAAACCACTGATATAATGAATGCATAGCTTAGCTCAATAAGAAACTCCAGCACATACAAAGTCATAACTAATAAAGCCAGTCCAGAAATAAAAATCATTGTCTTGTATTGAGTAGAAAAAAAAAAAAAAAGACAGTAGACATGTAAGCTATTATTAGAATGTTAAAGCTCTCTAGAACTTAATTAATGGCTACTCTGAAAAAAATCTACTTATTTCATGAGGCTATAAAGAAAAAAAAAATCTTACGTTTCATCTGAAAGACTTAACCAACGGAAAGCCAGCTTAGCATTAGTCTCAGATTGTTACTCTACAGCCAAAAACTGGAACTGGTTTAGCCCCCTGAACCAGCAAGCCTGTCCTTAGTGTGAACATGCAACTACTGCAAAGGTCACCAGAACTTATGTACACAGATCAAAGACAGGACAAACTCTCAAACTCTCCAAGTAGAGCATCAAAATGTGTACACACATCTATATATCAGTCAATATAAATACACACAGGATGGGCTTTTGGGAACACAGCATGATGGTACTTATACATGTGCACATGGTTCTCTTGAAATAGTCAAGGGGAAACTCCTAGAAACAGTAACTTTCTTCGTGAAAACTGTGGCCTTGATAGGAACACGCTCTTAGAAAGTAAGTAAAAATTTGCATTTAAAATGTTGAGCAATTACTGAAAAGTAGCAACTGACCTGATAAAAATATACTTTCAGATCTTCATTATTTCTGTACTTATTTTTGTTTCCACAAAGAGATGCCAGTGAGAAGCAAGAGATCAAGAGGGTCAGCAAACCAGCTGCTATTCTGCAAAAGCAAACAAAATAACAATAAAATCCCAGGAAATATAATCAAAAGTCTTCCTTTTGATGCCATATGCTGTCTTGTTGCACTTTACACCCCACACCAGATCCAACCCCAGGAGAGCTTTGGCTTTCCTAAATTACCCTGCATACTCAGACAGTGTCTCTAGATTCCTACTGGATCACCTGACCCTGCTTCCACCTCCTATATACTTCTTTTTTATGACTGAACTAAGTCAGGAGTTCCCTGCTCCTACCATATGTTTTATTAATGTACTGAGAAGCTCTAACCTGACATATAGTGCCACTGCTCAAGAATAGATGCACCTATTTCTCACTGGCCCTCTGATTTCTCCCTCCTGTATCTTGTCTCCCAGCATCAACTTATCTTTAACATCTAGAAGTGCCACATATACATATATTTTTAATTGTTGCTTCAAGCTTTTTCAACTTCAAAACTCCCTTGAAAAGATTCAGACAACCACAAAGTGTTTCAGAGGTGCAGTGTTTCATTAGAAGAATAACTAGAAAGCCTGGGTAAGATGAATATAGAGAAATGTCAGGGAGGAAGATCTGAAGGTAATTTAATTCTATTCTGATTTCTAAGCTGTACACAAATGTTCTAAAGAATAGAAAAACCTCAGTTTGGACCAGTAGAAATACATACATGCGTATATACAGCAGAGAGGTTGTAATGTAGCCAAGGCAAATCTGTCCTGAATATTTCTAATGTGCCCAAGGATTGAGGCTAAGAAGGGTTTTCAACAGATGGATTTAAAACATGGTGAAAAAAAACAAGGCAGAATGTCAATTATCTTGGAAATATCTGGGCTCATAATTCTACCTGCAATCACATTTTACTGCTCAAATCCCATATTTCACTGAGGTTCAGGCACCCTAGCTCTCGTGGGGCACAGTGTTTTCTGCAGACAGTAGGAGCCTTTGCAGTCCAGGGTCAATTCAAGTCCCTATCGACAGTAAATACAATGACATCACAAGCCTAATACTTCAGGCCAACCACCTGGATTGCATCCAGATATGAGAGAGGGCTTGTATGATCAAAGAGTAGCTCACAAGAGGAAAGGGAGAGATGACAAAGATGCAGTAGAAAAAAAATGTAAATCAACAACTGTGGAAAATCAGACAGGCAACACCATAAAGGAAAATTCAGAACGGAGAAGTAGAAGTGGAAAAAGAAGAGACAAAGGAGACACCGAGGAAGAAGAGAGTTCTCGACTACCCTATATTTTCTACTTCCCTGAATATCTCACTAGGTACAGTGTTATTCAAAGACAGATTATTCAAAATTAGATGGACGAATTCAGAAAGATACTATCAAAAGTAAATTGCTTTTGACTAAATGTTGCTATTCTCATGTCAGTGCTATTTACCATGTTTGCACCCCAGTGAAGCTCCTCCTTTAATGATAACCTTTATTTTAATGTAAAATGTGCAAATTTTTGTGTTGTGAGAAATGTTTCCCTTGACAAGAAATTACAGAATAACAGAAAGACCAAATGGATGTGGAAAAAGAATTAAAAGTCTATTCTCGTTCCCATTAGTGAATAACAGAGGTCTCTATAATCATGTTATTTAAATTCTGAATTTCAACTCCTGCCTCAGACATCTTTCAATAATACAATTCCTCACACATGTCGAAAGGCAGCCTCAATTTTATATATTAAAGAGGGAAATAAAAAGTTTAAATAACAAAATGAGATTCTTACACCAGAGGAATGTTTGGTTCTCTTCCTACAACAGGCATTAATGGAAATATTGCAAGGAGCACACACAAAAGAGTCCAGATCAAGGCTATTGTCTGAAAAAAAACCAAACAAATGGGGTTTTTTGGAGGTCATGTGAACAGAAAATGGTCTAATCATAAAAAAATATTCAGTGAACTGCTAATGGCTACTTGCGCCTTCCACCAGCCAAAAGCCCTGCATCTCTCAAGAGTAAAATTAACTAAAAAAGGGGCATGGGGTCATTGATATTACAGCATTTCAATTTAATACAGAAAAGAATCTCATTTATACAGCTGTCAAAATCCCATCAAAGACAATGATAATTAAGCTAAGTTTACACTTGTAAGCACTTTCTCAAAGCATGGCCTTCGCACACATTGCAGGGGCCAGAAATCTGGTGAGTGACCTTACAGAAGAAAGACATAAAACTAAGGTCCACAGAAGGTTGCAGCAGTTAACTAATCAGCATTGAGAGAGAATACTCTGAGAATATGGTAACGTTTTCCAGTCTTGGAATCTGCGTGCCATTTGATTTAACCACTATAATCATCTAAGCCGTTCTCTAAACTCTTTGCTAGGAGGAAAAAATACCAAACCATATTCCAGGTATTTTAGTTAAATAAAAACATTAGGAGCTATATCATTTAAAGTTTTCAAGCTCAAGTCAAACTGGCATTCCTGAACGGAAATTTCAGTGCTGCAAAACATTTTCTGTGCATATCCAGCTTTTAAGACAAGTTACTTGATTACTCAACTGTAACAAAAATTGTAGGTGAACAAATACAAACTTCGATCTTGACAGTTCCTGCAGAACAAGACTTAGCAACTTGACTCCTTTTTTTTTTTTTACCCCAAAACCTAGGTTTTAGGTATCCTATGAAAAAAGAGATGTTTGAATAAACTAATGGAAGAAATTAAATAAAATTAAATTCCTTAACTTAAAAATTGTGCCATTTCACATCCATATCTATGAAAATGGAGTTTTTTTCCTGGGAAAAACCGTACAGGAAGCTTGCTGTGAGGAACAATGTGTGCCAGCTGATTGCAGACCAGGATGAATTGACAACTGGTTTTTCAGTTATCTTCAAATTTTTTTTTCCTTTTTTTAATAAGTGATCTTATTACTTAAATGATGACCAATTGCACAAGTCAACACTATTGTCACTGTGACAGTTTGATAAATGATGTGCACTTCATATGATTAAGTCAAGTATTTTTTTGTTATTAACCACAGAAAACTGATAGCTAATTCATAGCTACCCCAAAATTCTTAAGCAGTGTTATTACCTATGTTGTATTACAGATCTCTCAAGATCATATTAAATTTCCTTGCTGCTCATGACAGAGATCAGAATAAGAGCATAAATTGAACAGGAACCTAAAGCAGCATTCCGAAGGGACCAGTTCCAACAGGCTAAGATGCAATCCAGCTGTTGTTCACAGTTTAAAATGCTCTGCTTAAGCAAAGCAATACAGTACCTTTGCTTGAACCCAGAGCTGTGTGATCACTGGCCAGCCAGCAAAGACAAGAAGACCAACAGTAAGCGCAGAGCGGTAGAAAAAGCTGAAGACCTAATTACAAAAAAGAAAAAAAAAAAATCCAGCAGAAGACTGAAAATCAGAGACATTCATTTCTCAGAGAGTTAGAATGCTAGCAATGAGATATCCTGTTGATACATATGGATAAAATACTTACTAGTATTTCAATTCCCAGTATACAAACCAAGAGGAATCCTATAGACTGACTGATACGTAGTGACAAAACATTTGCAGCAAGGTCTTGAATAACAGGAATTCTGTTAAAAGTGATGGAACAAGATAGTATTTATTTTTTAAAAAACAGAAATAACATAGATTTTACCTTTGAAGGGCAAGGAAGGGGTCAGAGCACAAAATAAATTACAGATATTGTTGGACATGCCTGCTGTTTGGAAACTGAGTGGGTGATGGCCAGAGGATCCTTCTGTCCAGCTTTATTTGATATAAAATCAATAAACCCCTCCTGCTCTTTTCCTCCCATTTCTGGCACATCTTTGCCCGTATTTGGACAAGCTTCAGATTATTCTCTATCCAAATTGACTCTGAATATTTTCAGTTATGTTTTGCTTAATGTCTGTCATAACTGATAAAACATTCAGAAGGTTTAGAGAGAGGAAAAAAAAATCCCTGTTATCTTTTCCTGTGTTTTATGAGACAGCTCATTATCTAACTGCAGTTGGTCTCATTTTCTCTGAATAATACTGAGGTGGTATCTACAAATCGCCAGTAGATCAGGAAAGTAATAGGAATCAGAAGGTAACAAGTACTTCTGGGTTTGGAGTAAACACGACCCAAAAAAACCAAATTTGTTTCAATATGGGAGCACATTCCTCAACATAACTGGTACAGGTTCTCCAAGAGCAGCTGGCGTTCAGCACACTTGACACTTTGCAGGATTCAACTGTTTCGAAATTACTGAAGAAAAGGAACAACTGGTCCCATTTTACAAAAGAACTCAGCTGCTACAGGTATTTGCCCAAGATTTTAGCACTCTTTTACTAGAGTTACAAGAGTACTAAAAACATTTTGTCTCGGAAACACTTCAATTTATTTTTCATAATAGAAAAGGCATCTTCTAGAATTGGCAGCTGTATCAGTCAGTTCGGAAACTACTTGATGTCAACTGAAATATAAACCAGAGTCCTTCGGAATGGCTCAGAAAACATTTAATGAAATTTAATAAAATTGTATCTAACTTTTTTCCCAAAGTCATAGGAAAAATTTAACTCTCAACAAAAAGAATGCCCAGACCTGGTCTTGTAAAAGAGTAGTCATAAATTGCATTCTTTACTTACTCTCTCACAACTGCATACCATACTGGTACTGGCAAGAGACAGTATACATAGTATGTCCAAGGACATGTCTGAATCAACAGGAAAAAAGCTATTATCATTCCAGCAAAGGTAAAACCATAGAAGAGAACAGCAGATTTCTGAAAAACAAACAGTTGGACAAACATTCTTGAAACAGCAATAACATATTTTAAACTACACACTATTTTCCATTTTTTAGTTACACAGTAAAACAAATGCTATTTTAACACAGCCTATCATGTGTCTATGTACACAACTCCGGACAAAGTTGTCAGCCAGATTAAAAAAACCCAACAACTGCGGGATTTGAAGAGCTAATTCTAAATACGAATCTTCATAAGGTCCTGAAGGAAAACCTGCACAGGAAAAGCAAACCTGTACAAACTGGAAGCCCAATATATGCAATGCTATTTATGTTCAATGGAGACTTGAAATCAATCTGCATTCAGAGAGGTTAAGGGTCTTGGAAAAAAGAAATCTCAAGTTTAGACTCTAAAAACAGACTTGGAGTACAGCCTTTGGAGTTCAAGGTCATAGCATCACGGTCAAAGCATTTAATGAAAATTCCATCAGGATGTTTCCTCTTACTACTTGAGACATTTGTAAGAGAACTGATTAAATTAGAATATAAAGTATTAACTCCTACCGGAAAAACCCACAACTATTCAGGATCTAGGAACAGCTACTGAAAGAGGCTTGTGACCAAACTCCCACAGGAGAAACTGTCTTACTCAAAGAACCAACAATTTCAAAATACAACAGAGGACTAGCATTGCACTAAAAAGTAGCATGGCTACAACTGTTAACATACTTAATCCCAACTTGAAACTCCTACTTCGGGCTTTTCTTAAAAAAAAATAAATTAGATGTAGGATTAGAACGTTATATACTCAAAGAAATACAAGCTCAGATTGAGAGCACTGTAAGGAGGAACATCAAAAAGAGAAAGGAAATTTTTTAAATGGGTTATCTATGATAGGTAGGCCAGTTCTCGATCATCAGATAGCAGCAATCTCTTGTTTGTGCAAAGACGAGCATTAAACAGTCACTCTGCATCCGCCTTTTATCTGGTCATTGAACTACTCTTTCTTATTCAGGGACATTCAGATATCAGAAGAATTAGTGGTAAGGGAAGATTATGTACAAGTTTTAAATAAACAATTTTATCTGTAGGTAATGCAACTTGACATAGCAAGGACAGCTTTAGTGACTGAGCAGTCTTAGTGTACTGTGTAGGTAATGACAAAGACACTATTTTCTTCTACACAAATGCTAGTTTCTTTGAAGAGTTATGTAGACGGACACAAAACTAAGTTAAATATGCTGAAAAGGAAAATCAATTACCAGCTCACATAGATGGATTAACATCTTTTCTAACTCCCCCTCCCTGTAACTGACATACAACTGCCCTGATCTAAACTGACAGCAAATGCAAGTTCTAAATGATTTTTAAAATAGAATTTCTCCTAAGATATGCCATTAAATTAAGAAAAGATATGCCTTATGGAAAGCTGACAGTGCAATTTTGCTTTATCAGTTTTAAACTTTACATTTGCTGACATATAGACAGAATGAACATGTATATATGCTAGGCACACAACATAATCTATCATTGAATGAGTAAACACATACAATCAACATTTTATTCCATATAGCAACATAAATATTATAGAATCCAATAGAGTTAGTCATGCATTGAAAATGGAAACCAGATTTGCATTTTCTGTGGATGTTTAAAATAGATTAAAAGGTTATGCTTCTTGCTAAGCAAAACAGCACACAACACCAAAAGAAAAAAAGCTTTTTTTCATATGCAGCATAAGAAATGAAAAACTTTTAAAGATGATATATACAGGATACAGAGTTTCATTATTCAGAAGCTCCTTGATTTTACAAGGTTGTGCTTTGCAGGAGACTATTTGTCAATGGTAGATTAGTTTCTCAGCAAAATCCTTTAAGTAGCTCCAATATGAGCTATAAACAAAATAACTCCCATACATGAAGCGTTAGCCTTACACTGTAGTTAAGTATTTAGGAACATTAAAAAAGGTTTCTAGAGAAAACTGAGGAAAGAGAAATTATATAGACAAAGAACTAAGAAAGCTATTTTTCTTCTGCCAGTGTTACTAGCATAAAATATGTCTTGCACAAATAAAATCAATATACCAAATGAAAATCTATGTAAAACTAAAAATGCAACATTTTCCTTAATGTAGTTATTAATATGCCTGATCCTCAGTTTATCTATTGTGATAATTTTGTTCATATCTAACATATTATACATCTTGGATTATTTCCTCTCAGTTATTTGATGAAAGAAAACCTAAATCATGCAGTACAGCACTTATTAATATTTTCCATTTTAATTTCGTTTGATCATTTTCATTAAAGGCCAAGACTATCTCATTTCAGGCAGTAGTAGAAGCCTCAAGATAACACGATAGGAATTTTCTCACAGTAATGTGTTGAAGGCAGTAAAGATGGTGAGTGCTCATTCTCATTTACTTACCAAATGAAACAATTCCTTTTATTCTGAAACAGATTCTTGAAGTTTGGGAGACTTTCCCTTCCTCACTGAAGGTTTTAATCCTTCTCTAGTGAAATGACAGTTCTTTGCCTGCTCACCTTTCTGAAGTATCTTTTTTCCTGATGAATGACTGAAAGTAAATTAATTTCCTAGGATTTTCTACTTTGTGAAAAATTAAACAATAATAACCTTGTCAAAAAGATCTTCCTTCATCTTTGATGTCTTCTGCTGCACCCTTGCAAATCACAAAGAGCAAGAGAGCAGGATGCTCTGTGAAATCACAGTTCACCTATTAAAAGGGGTTATATATTTTAAAAATGCCATGACTGGACTGCACAGCTTCTGAAAACTGATTTAAAATTGCCAAAGAGGACAGGAATAACCATAATTTACATACTAATTTTTTTTACAGTAAAGAACAAAAATTAAACTGGAAGACCATTCTTCCAAACGAGTACTATTACAACAGAATGCTGACTTTACTGAAATTATTGCTGCAGATTGGCTCCTGATTAGACCCTTTACCAGTTTTAAACCACTATGTTTATTTCCAGTTGCATTAGCATCTAGTAAAATGAAAAGCTGTAGGAAGGAAGAAACTGAGGAAGCACAGTTTCCTAATAAATGGACCAAACAGTAACACTACACAGGATTACAGAGACTGGAAAACTCAACAGCTTGCCAGTTTCCACATGAAGTCAAAAGAAGTGTAAGGTGTGCAATTTGTCCCCCACAGAGTCACTGAGCACACATATAATGCTGAAAACTGATAGAAAAAAATAATTGCATGTTTCCAACCTACCTTATTATTAGTTGGGACAGTCTTGGTCAAATTGGTATGGGTCTTGATAATCACCAAAATCACGTAAGTCGTCCAGCCCACAAAACTCATTGCAATACTTAGACCCAGGAACAATCTATCGTAAGTATGGTAATATGACAAGCCTTCCAAAGCAAGGTTAATCAGGGTTTTGCACAAGGATACCTGGAGGCAGACCAAATATATAAGCAACAGTTTAGAACAATATAAGCTTCCCATTCCACAGATCAACCTAACCGACAGCAAATGGAGCTCAGGCAACTCCAGCACTCTTGGCACCATGTCCTCTCCATTCTCAGGTACAGTGTTTTAGCCAGCACCAAGAGTTGGAATACACACCACTTTGGACTCCTGTTGGACATAAAATCAGCCATTGCTCGGCTCCTTATCCACCCTCCCTGGCCATGATAGTGGTTAGATGGCAAAAGCTACACAGATAGCACACCTTGAACACCACCTACTACCAAGCATGTCACTTGATTTCCCCATAAGCATTTGACTATATATATTCCATAGTAAGTTACTCCATTAAAAACAGTCATGTGTTTCTGAAGGCACACTTATGCAGGAGGAGGATTATGGATGTAGCTGAAACACAGTCACTCTCCACAGCCTGAAATATCCCCTTCTTGGGGTTCAGAGACTACACTGGAGTCCCAGCTTCATTCACAAAGCAGCTGCTTGGGGCTCTCAGGACCTAAATAATTTGGACACAAGAAGGGCTGCATCCAATCTAATCACAGCCCCTCTCACTCAGTACCTCCAATGGGGAGACATCATGATAAAAACAATGGGTTTTCTGATCATGAGTGTCATTAAGAGAGTGCTGACCCCTCTTATTTACCCAAAGATGGGAAGCTCATCTGTGCTATTTGTGGTCACAGAGGATTCCCTAGTGACTAAGAAATCACTAGGAGGAGTATAATAAGAAGGAGGAGTATAATAAGAAGTTGAACATATGCAATGATGCTTCTTTGTATGTGCAGGTATTCAGTTGGGACTTAACAACAACAACCAACAGAAAAAGGTACAGCCACAACTGAAGAGATCACAAGTCTGCCAACGGGCAAACTCTCCCCAAATGACACCATTCTAGAGGATACAATTATGACTGCACATCTGCAATGCAAAAAGCTACAGAGTTGAGGCAAAGAATCATCCACATCCCAGCTCCTGGTAATGCACTGACCTTCCTGCATTGCGATACAGGATGCTAAGGATACAGGACACAGGCACAAGTCTCATGTGCTAGTGATCAAGAGGGAATTTGAACAGCTGGGGCATTCAAGCAAACAAAGGGTAAAACTTACATATAAGCAACAACATAAAATCACAGGTTTTACACCTGAAAGGTAAAAAATGTCTCTCCTACAAGTAACATGACAGCCAAGGAGCAGTATTAGGAAACCAAAAAGAAAACCCACTCCCACAGCAAAATAGATCCATTTATTTAAACTGAACTATTTCCAATTTGCAACAAAGTAAATAAAAAGGTATAAGGTATAAAATAGATTTAGCTGTCCTGTGCATAAAATAGTAATTTATTATCCTGAGAATCATATTAGGAAAAAAGAACTGAACCCTAACACATAATGGAATTATTCTTCCATGCATCTGGCAGGTTAAATGCAATCTTATATATTCAATTTTTTCACGTACTTTTTAACACGGAAGTCAATGACCAAACTAAACCTGTTAAAATGAAAGACTTCTTGCTACCATTTAACTCTACAAATTATTTCTGTGAACATCAGAATACAAGCACTGGAAAACTGCACCCACCAGGTACCCTGTCACACAACGAGTGGTAGTAAATGGTTAGGAAAGTAATACAGGAACTGGAAAGCATGATTTCATATATGGCTCCCAGTCTGACAAACTGAAAATGCGAAATTAAAAACAAGAAAGCTGGTTCAGGTAAAAGAACAAAAAAAGCCCCCCCAAGATCTATGATGGAGCAAAATATCACTTTTTTTTCATGCAACTGGCGGTCTAAGAACTGTGAACATGAATTACATTCCTTAGTTTCTCTCTTAATTTACCCTTTTATACAGTGTGTCAGTATACTACGAATGGTAACAATTTAAGAAAAATTTTTTAGACTTAAAGTGGAATTTTATTTGTGTTAATGAGATGTGCATCATAGGAAGAAAAACAGTTATTTCTCAGCTCATTTCAATTTAAACAAATCTAAATATTTACATATAACAAAAACAGACTTACCGCTTCATTGTACTTCTGCTGCTGAATACATAGTCTTATTTTCTTTAAAAAGTTTATTTGTTCAGAATCAGAAAGTGGTCTGTACAACAATATAAAGAGACATTAACATTTCTTCTTTTTATGAGCAGAAAAAAAACTTTGCAATAAAAAAAAAATTACTCTGGAATGAAACATAACAAAAATATCCTAAACTGTATTAGAAGCAAATAGGCAACTGAGACTAATCTTATCCTCTACATTTATCTTCATACCTGTAAACATGGCTTCTGTTTAACCTATCTCAAGATTTTTGCATTAAGAGACATTTCTTTTATGTAGCTGATCCCATCTAATACTGCCAAAATTATCTCTCTTGTGCATTATTATTGACCCTTGCCCTGGACAAGAAGCGTGGCACATACAAGAATGAAGCAATTTAACTGATTTGAAGATGGTTGTAGGCAGTTTGTAAGCCTGACAGCATAGGATGATTTGCTCTGGTTCCATGATAACAGTAGATGATGCCTAACAATCTTCTCTTTAAAAAGTTATGAGATTGTCTGCTGTTACACAGCGAGCTATTAGCAGAGTCCCAAGAGCAGGGGATAGCACAGTCACCCAGCTACACTGAGGTCAGTGATAAAAATCTCTTTGATTTTAATGGATTTGATCATCAACCTAAGTAATTGCTACAATTCTTCTCTTACAGAAAGTAGCAACAAGGGCAAACAAGCCAGTCAACCAAACTCCACCACAGGAAGGGGAAAGGACCTGTTTCTCCTGTACTATTTTCTCTCCAAGTTAAGGACAGCAGCAGGCCAGAGGATCCCAGGCTTACCCTGGGTAAGTTATAAGCCACAGTACAATCACTGTCACTCAGGGCCAACACAGGCAAACTATCCTGGGTCACAGCTTTCTGACAGCTGATGAATTCATACAGCAGTTTTGCTTCACACTTTCCACAACATCACCGTGGCACAGCACCACCTCCGCCAGCACATGATGGCCCAGCCGCACACCTCCCTCCCTTGCACGTGCTCCTTCACGTGCCTCATACACAACCACCAGCTTCGTGTTTCAGGCAGTGCCAAATCAGGACCAGCCCTCGGTCACTCCCACTCAGCTGAACCACAGGGGCAGGTCTTGATCTTACACAGCTGCTGCATGGAAATGTTCATTCCTGCAGCTCCCGAACACTTATGAACCACTTTTGCCTACAGCCCAGTAGCAGTTGATACGTAATGAACAATACATCCATCCATCCTTTTGAGCCGTGAAATATATTACAAGTATTCTGTGGCTGAACAATCTGAATTGTTATTATTAATAATATCCTGGTATATTTTGATGCTCTTCGCTTAAATTCAGAGTACAGCAGCATTGTGCAGGAATCTCCCAAAACACTGGATAATAGGAGCAGCAACGAACCTTACTATTGAGAAGAGTAAATAACTGTATTTAAAAATGTTTGTCTCTTTTCAATCTAGAAAACAATTGAAGGATGGTATCTATAAATAAGATTTTCCCACGGAAGAGGAAAAAGTGAGGAAAAGATGATGATAAGGTGCTGGTAAGAGTTTGATCACCTTCGCTTTGGGGGTAGAACAGAGGATTTTAGAAACTAGAGTTGAAAAATAGCAAAGCGAATGTTGGTCGTTTCTGTACCTTCATGACATCTCCCTATGGAAGCCAGCATTTTAGCTCCACAGCCTGAGAACTACAGCTGGAATCAATTCTTAAAGTAGGTAAACCAGATCCAAACACTGCCTCAAGAAAATTTTTGGCCCTCAAATTTTGCCAAGTTGTTTGGTAGGGGAAAGGGGGCAAAACAACAAACGGAAGAGGAACTTTTCACCATGTGTGGAGATTATTGGAGGAAAAAAAAAGACAGCGTTTAGGTAAGGATTTAAAAGAAGATCTGGAATAAATACCCAGGAGCTTTATTTAGGACTTAAATACATCCAAATGTTCCTATGTTCCCTGTTTAATTTTTATTGTCTTACACATACTATTTTCTATGAATTTTATCCCTGTCAAATTCAATGCAAACTCCTTATAAAGTAAAATTGTATTTTACTTTATATCTTTAGTCATTTAGCTATAACCCCCTTATTATCTTTTTACTCTCAATGAATCATTGTATTATTCACGAACCATAGTCTTCACCTATTTCTTCTTAAGAGGACAGCACCTGGGATCTCTGTACGTGGATGGTGTAACAGAATAAATGGGGTTTTTAAACAAAAAAGTTTCCAGTCAAACACAGAAAGCAATTATTTTGTCAAATGGAGCTACCATTAGCAGGGGCATTGTTAATTTTCAATGGCTAACATCATACCACCCGTTTTAGCTTATTTCCATATATATGCTTTTCAAGAGGCTGATCTTACAATTGTCTAACAACTGCTTTTGTAAAATGTATAAATTTCTATGAAGATGCAAGGGTTGATCATTATCTTAAGTTTTTTTTTTGCCTCTGTATTAAAGAAAAAGGCAAGTAAGTGATTAGGTAATTTTTGTATCTTACACCAGCCTATAAAGAAGAGTTAGCAAATACGCTGCTTATCCCTTAATTAAAGAATGGGTATAGCTCACCATAAGCAGTTTATCATCCATTGAGGACACTGATTTGCCTCCTGAAGCTACAAAGCAGATGAGAGATTTAAAAGAAGCCCCTTGCTAGATGTAGCAGAAAGCAAAAAGAGACAAAGATGAGCCATGAACAAAGAGGAAAGTTGCCTATAGAAAAAAGTCATGGACTTTAGAAATGGTGACTCTATAAGACCTACAAGACTTACCAAAAAACAAAGCACAAGGAAAATTTAAATCTGAGGAGTAAAACCTTGAACTATTCTTAGCACCACTTAATTTTAACTTAAACTATTTGAAAGGTTTCCAATAGAATACAGATAGTGTTAGAAAAGAATAAACCGATCAGAGTGATTTCCCCATGTTTTATCACGCAATGTCCCAGAGGCACTTGTAGTATGTCAATGTATTCTCGAAGTCACGTAATGCACACATCCATATAATTAACATTAATAGTAATGAAGATCATTATTATAAAGATTCTGAACTCTAGAAGGAAAAAAAGGTATGTGTGCATACACTCTTCCCAGTCACCCATCACCAAAATCCAATTCTACCAAATTCAAGATGAACAGACTTGACCAGTAAAATTAAAAGTCTTTTTCCATAACACAAAAATACCTGTCTTATTAACAGATACACACAAAGAGAATTCACTCAATAGATTCAACTCCGTCCTCCTATTCTTTTCTTGAAAGTATTGCAAAACACATGCACTGTAAAGTGTAGTTCTCTGAGAAAAAAACAAGAATTCCATGGCCATGTATCCTATAAACACTCACATTCACAATATCATCAGGATTCAAAAGATTTAAGACTACATTCTTACAGAAAATGATAATCGTTCTACAAGAGTAACTTTATTTTTCATTATGGCTATTAGAGATTAATTCTAGTTCCAGACAGAAATCACAGCTTCATCCATGAATAAACATAATTAATTATGAAACAAAATGATTGGCCTAATCATGCAAGTGCTTGTAAACTCTCCCTTCTGAGATGTTAGCTACCCTTGTCATAGGTATACCTGACAAAATTAATCTTTCCAACACATCATTTATGCTTCATATAAGCTAAGCTATTTGACAGCACTTCTCAACGAGACTGTAATGAAGTACATTCACCATAGCAATGTCAAGGGATCTCTCTTTGGCCACCGAGTCTTGTTTATCATCACACTACAGAAATTACCATCCCCAAAGGCATAGGTAGCATGCTGCAGTCAAACCACTAAATAAAAGAACTCAGAACAGAAGGAGATGTCTTGCAAATACATCCGTATCCACCACCGCTAGTTTGTTGATTTCATTATAACTGGTTATTTGGGTAATGATTTATAGTCATTTTAATGCACAGTAAATTTTCCATAATTCTGCTATAAGGAGTAACCCCTTAGGATCTGTAGTAGTTTAACACTTAAGATGCTGTAGATTTAATAATGAAAGTCAAGGAAGCATCATAGACTTGTAGATGAAATATACAATGATAAACTCTGAGACCTTTGCCTAGTTCACTGTCAGATGAAAACAAATTTATTTCAGCTGTTTCACTACATATATTCTCTTTATATACACACAAGCTCCATGTACCTGAATATGTCAGCTCATGCACATCTCCACCCTTTTACCACTGTCTTCTCATTCTCCCCTATCAGAAAAAAAGAAATTACTGTGCATCCTACAACTCTTTGGGAGAGACAAGATTTGCAGAAGATAGAGTGGTCACATTTCCATGATCCATATCCAGCAGCAAATCAGAAGTAGCTGCTCAGCAGACTTCAGTCTTCTAACTTTTCATATTGGCTGCCTGGGGGATGGGGAGAAAAGGACCAACTCCTGCTGATACAAAACTAAAAAAGCTAAAGGCTAGGGATGTACAGCCCTTGAACCTTGTGATAGACCCATGATGGAACAAGACCTTCTGAATAAAGCATGCTAGAATTTTGTATGGGTTGCCTTCTTCAGAACACCACATAAATCAAAGCTTCTCTCTTGCTTGGCTATGAAATTTCTAACTCCAAAACTGTTGGCAGCAAAAGAATCATTAGACTGCCACTGTCCAAACAACTTCAGCAAGCTCTTCCAACAAAATGCTGAGCAATTACAGGTTCTTGTCCTCTTCTCCAGAAAGAAGAACCCTGGTACCATAGTGACTTGCAACCTGAAATAAATTGCCCAGGTTAATGTTGCCTGTCTCCACTGGCATCATTCTGTAGAGCGCCTGAGGCCTCTGACACCCACACCTGTCCTCTGCCACTCCGATACTGCTGGGGGCAGGCACCAGTGCATCTCTGCCCTCACCATGGGAGAAAGTTGCCAGAAACAGAATCAGGTGAGTATGTTCACACACTGCTGCCACCCATCCCTCTGTGAGAGTGCCATACCATGCAGGAGAGACGGCTTCCAACCCGTCAGTTCTGCAAGCAGCTGAAGTAGTACTTACAGGGCTCACTATTACTGTTTTGATCTACGCTCCCACTGCTGGCCAAGTGGTATCTTGACAGTGTGTATG